TGGATTTCACTTATTTTCTTTTAACAGATTGCAGAGTGGCACATTAATTTTTTCTATCTTTGAGCTTGATACAAATTTTGACACAGCTGCATTTTTATTTTCTTTATTTTTGAGCTTGCTGTTATTTGACGTAGATAGTTTGTATTTAGATACTACTTGTTACTTCAATAAAATTGGAACATTTTAAGATTGTTTCATATTTCATTAGCATTGTGTTGGGGCGATGGGGACAGGCGGGGCTTGAAAATTCCCCCTTGTCCAAAGTGGGGAATGACAGAAAAAGTTTGAGAACCACTGCTCTATAGAGTCACTATAGATCAGTTTAATTTATATCAGATCCTCCTCGATCATGCTGAGCTGTCGACTCTCCCTGAGGCATTGCAAGACTTATTTAGTAGCTACCTTATTGAGCTCTATTCACAATTCCCCTACTTCCTGAACTAAAAGCAGCTCTTTTGCTTCCGGTCTGGCATGTCTGCAAGATATCACTGTCACGAAGATGGACCTAGAGTTGCTAGAAATTGAAGAGGAACAGGTTCTGTTAGTGGAGTTGGCAAAAAGACAGACTGACCGTTCGCTGTAGTTCTCCATTGTAGTTGTTCCTCGGTTTTTAAAAATGGTGCGCCCCGGCACCGAATCGAGAAGGACGACCACACAGACAGCCAGAAAGGCATACAAAGGACCAATCACAGCTGCTTTTTGTCTTCGCACTACCGCTTGAGGTCTGCTTGGGTTTGCGACCTTCCAACACGTAGTCAGGATTTAGGTGCACGACAACGGTTGCAGAACCTCTGTGTGTCTGGGAGCGGGGGTGGCATGGTCGCGCACTGAGACAGATTCGACGGTAGCAGAGGCTATTCGTCAGAAGCATAAATTGGCCTTTAATAAGTTCAGCGCTACCTTAAGCTCATGAAGTATTTGTCTATAGAACCCATTGGTCCAATATGGGTTTCTAATAGTTCGGTGGCACTGCAAGGAGTAGGCACCACGTCTCTTTATCTCTGCTCATCACACTCATTGCTAGAAGTCCATTTGGGCTCAAATAAGACAATCAACACTATAGATGCTTGGAGTATAGAGCCACTTATATCAGATCTAATGCAGCTTTTTGTTTTTTTAACAGTGTCCAGTCTTGCGACACGGCAATAAGAATCATTGTCTTGATGCCAAAAAAAGCCAAGCAGATTTTACTTTCACAAGTGGAGCAGTACGGCTATCGCCATAGTGTTCCGCTTGATTTGAGCATATAGCTTTATTATAATTCATTTAGGGAGTATTTCAGATGATATGGACACTGCAATGAAAAAGTAGAAGATAAAGGAAAAAAAAACAAGAAGGAGAAAAGGTGAAAGAAGAAGGAGATAAAAGGATCTAATCGTTTTTGGTCTTTCTCGTAGAGGCATATGACGTGATTATGCACCTTTAAAATTAATCACAATTTGACCAAATTCTAAAAGGGCTAAGGTGTTTTCTGAAAGTCTTAATGATCATAAACTTTAATGTTCTGCCAAGTAGTTTCTACGCAAATGTATTCTATGGAATATTGTCCCTAAGATTGTACTTTCCCAAAGAACATCTCTTTCCTTCAGATCTTTCACACAAATTAAAACATGACACCACCCGTCTGATTTTTGACATTGGTCCACTTAATACAGAACATTTAGAGAGTTCACCTTCTTCACCTTTTTATTTCTACATTTTAACTTTAGGAGTTCACATAGAAAATGCTACTCAACAATTCCTCCTATTTCATTTAATAGAAGTGTGTATGTTCCTTTGACAATATGTACAGGACATGGTTCTATATGGTGATCTAGGATATTAACAATTTAGAGGTTTTGCTACATTGGCTTCACAGATCTATGACTAAAGCAGTTGTGGCTGTAAGGTGACAGAAGCTCTGTTAATTTTAGGTTTGGTGAAGGTAAGACTGTGAAAAAAACCTCTGCTCTCAGTGTAGCATGACATTAGGGCTGCAACAACGAATCGATAAATCGATAAAAATCGACTTTTAAAAGCGTTGGCAACGAATTTAATCATCGATTAGTTGTGTCGCGCGATTAATGCGTCATCCGCCGCCATCGTCATCCCATCCACTTGACTGAAACGAGGGAAGAAAATAAAAAAATACGGCAGAGAGAGCCAGCTCCGCAGGTTCAGTGTTGCCAACTCAGCGACTTGGTCGCTATATTTAGCGGCTTTTCAGACCCCTCCAGCGACTTTTTTTTCAAAAAAGCGACTAGCGACAAATCTGGCGACTTTTTACGGTGTCACTGGCGGCTTTTGGAGACTCTTACGTGAAAGCATGTATCGTTCCCACTCTTGTCCTCCAGCGGCAGTTGCTGCCGTGGGGCGCCTGCCCCATCCCAACCCTGTTCTCCCGCAGGAGTCCCTCTCAGCGCTGCAGTCAGAGCAGCAGGATGTTTACCCTCAGTGTCCAGACTGCAAATGAAGCTCACAATAATTAAAATAGCCTGCACTTTGTAAAGCGAAAAAAGTCGTAACATGCAACTTTTGTAAAAACAAATGAACATGGCACGGAAGCACCACTGTTATGACGCAGCACATGAAAAGAAAACACGTTCGAGCCTTCGATGGCAGTGAAGAGAGCTGATCAGCAGGGTGAGCGACCATGTTTGTTTGGTTTTAAAGTGGGGAAACGTAACGTTAGTTTCTCAGGTAGCTCATCTGATGCTTTCCTTACCTTGTTAGTAGGTTACAGACAGTGATAAGGTTGGCTACTTATTTTACTTTTAATTTCATTTGAATTAGCTTAAGCAGCGTTTATATTTTCTTTATAAATAAATTAACTTGGCAAGGCTTTTAAAGTTTAAATCTTCTGGCAAAGATAAAGTAAAGAAGATCCTGCAATTTATGGAAGTAAAGCAGAATAAAATCCAGCAAGATCAGTAATATGTCAATTAATTATCTGCCAAATTTCCATGTAAATATCTGTCTTTGGAGGATGTGTTTTTTAGCACCCCTAGTTCTCTCATTTTTATTCCAAACACAATTTATAATTTGAATCACAGGCTATTTTTATCTCTATGGTTCAGTATTTTCTCAAGTAGCAACTTTGACTGCTATACTTTCCTGTCTTAAAAGGCAGAACTCTTCTAGTCTAAAAAAAACTCATTTGTTGAAATGGGGGGGCTATTGTTTGAACCCCTTAGGGGCTTTAAAAACAAAAATGTCTTTTTTTGCACTTTATAAAACAAAGTAGCCTATATTTTGTGGATGTACAGCTACATTTCTCATGTAAGTTTGCGTAGTTTTAACACAAACATTTACTTTTCATATTGCACCAGTACAGTTAATGAGCAACCTGTACTTATGTGCTTGTTTGTTCTGTCTAAAATGTTTATTTTGGAATAAAAAAAGAGGTTAATATAAAAGATATTTTTTTTATCCGATTCATCGATTAATCGAAAAAATAATCGTCCGATTCTTCGATTTTTAAAATAATCGTTAGTTGCAGCCCTACATGACATAATTAAACAATGATGCAATGCCATGACCTCAGGTCCTTAGTTTGGAAAGGTTTTGGAAACATGATAAAAAATTGTCATAATTTTTTAGAATCATCTATCCATCAGTCCATTTTCGGTCTCACTTATCCCAAGTGGGGTCGCGAGGGGTGCTGGTGCCTTTCTCCAGCAGTTTATGGGTGAGAGGCGGGGTCCACCCTGGACAGGTCGCCAGTCCATCGCAGTGCAGCACAGAGACAAACAGGACAAACAACCATTCACTCACTCACACACACTCACACCTGAGGAGAATTTAGAGAAGCCAATTAAACTAACAGTCATGTTTTTGGACTGCGGGAGGAAGCCGGAGTACCCGGAGAGAATCCATGCATGCTCAGAGAGAACATGCAAACAGGAAACGAACCCAGAACCTTCTTGCCGCAAGACAGCAGTGCTATCCACTGCCCTACTGAGCAGCCCCATTTTAGAAATATCTGCTAAAAAAAGAAGCTTAAAAACCACCTAAAAAGGTCATATCACTGATATAACTTTATTTAATGTCAGTGATATGACCTTTCTGGTAATATCACTGACATTAAATAAAGTTATATTTCCAATAATGTTATTGAACTATTGTTCACCTCCAACTCATGTGAAGTCACACACAGTGGGAAATTCTTCTGCTCATGTTTCAAATGTATTATTTTCAAACCTAATCCCCCTCAACCCCAAACTTAACAAATTGCAATCAGTGACCACAAAAGTTGTTTGGAGCTTTTAGAATGCATAAGAAAAAATTGTGGATTTAAGGAATTCTGTCTTTAAACACAGTAGACCCTACATCCTCTGTGAGCTCTCGGTTTTCAGGCTAAGCAAATAAAGGAAGGCATCACAAACAGAGCATAATACCCTGTAGTCACCAACATGTGACTCATACATTAGGCCTTTCTCAGCCTGTCAGGATGCAGCGACGCACACAGCCTGCTCTCACACGAACATTCATGAGACACTTGCATTCCTGCGTGTCTTTAGAGAGGATCAGACTCAGATGGTGAGGGGTTTCCAGCTCTTGTGGGGGTGATATCTGAAGAAGCTTCAAAAGACCTCAACTCCTTTGATCTTTCCAGTTACAGTCTCATGTACACGCACACACACGTGCAAATACATGAGCTGCCTTTTCTTTTCCTAACAGGAATGTGACTACACTTATTCTTAAGAAGATTCCTTTAAAATATTATATTACTTTTATAGCAAGTAATAGACATTTGAAAAATAGAGGGGATTTTTATTTATTTATTTAATAAATCTGAATATGTTTGAGGGAAAAAAAAAAAAAAAAAAAACGTAGATTAAAGACAGCATTCTCAGGAAGATGCTCAGTCTAACCATATAATAAAAAACAACTGAAGCTGAAGTGAAATATCCTGAATAAGATATAAATAGATGGTCCCCAAATGGTCTTTTTTGTTTTTGTTTGTTTTGTTATGAGAAAAAAAACTGTGGCTCGTTTTTTCCTTTCCACTTTACTTTTACCTTCAGATTCATGGCGGCCGTCATCCAGCACCAGGCTGTTCATGCATTTCAGCTCCCAGTCCTGGACCTCAGTTTGCCACAGAGCTGAAACCAACACGGTGTACTGGGCCCTACAAATGGAAATGCAGGGAAAGGGAAATGAAGAGAAAATTAGTAAATATGACAAAAATATGATAAATACTACAGATGAAGATTATCAGGAAAATAAAAAGGTTATTTTTTCCAAGTAAAACAGGTAGGAACAAACAAGTCTAGCCCTACTGAATGCAGAGCAGACTACTGTAAATGCCCTAATGTCAAGATTACATAACTCATGTCCTTTAAACCGGCGGGCCGGTACCAGTCCGTGGGTCATTTGGTACCGGGCTGCACAGAAAAAAGTATATATATATATATATATATATATATATATATATAAAATTTATCAACGATCAGAGTCTGAGTGATGTTTTATTTTGAAAAATATAAAAAATTGCGGTATTCTCTCCCAATTCCATCAGTCAGTGCATCTGTGCCTCTTGACACAGGTTAATTCAGTTCAAGATGCATCCTATCTATAACATCCTACCTTTGTGAAGAGGGATTTTCTGCGGTTACAGCGACCAAAACAAAGCTACGGAGCAGACTGGACATCAGGAGCACACTTCGTCTGTCATTTTCTTCGATTACGCCTAGATGGGACCAGTTTGTTGTTTTATTATTATGCTGTTTGTATTTGATTTTGTGGAATGTTGAATTTGTGATTTTCCACTGATATTTATACATTTCCTCCCAATCCTCCCCTGTCACCGCTGTTTGTCTCCCTCTTCGATCTTTTTTTTTTTTTTTTTTTTTTACATATACTATGTTGTCTGCTTTTAAGTCTTCTAAATCCTGTACATTTTAGAGATAGATTTCCATTTTGAGACCTATATGCTCCCATCATAATTCCTATGACCGTAGGCCATGTTGAGTCCAGATTTTTATATATATACATACACACACACACCATTATTAAAAAGAAATATTATGATTTTCCTCCTGATGTACTTTTGGGCCCTTATTAAAATCTATACTGTATACGATCTACCTTGAAAACCTACATTGACCCGTTGAGTTTCTCAAAATTTCTGTCCAAATTTTAACCGATACCCCCAACCATGGATTTATTATTAGTTTAGGTTCACATAGAATAACTTGCATAGGGAGGCCATCTATTAGTCTTTTCTCAATGTCCTTCCATTTTGCAGAGTTGTAAGGTAGCACTAGACCCCCGCTCCCCTTAGGTAGTTGTATTGTTCTATATTTTATTGTTGGCTTAGGCCCTTGCCATATATATTCAGATATAATTTTGTCCCACTCTTTAAATTCTTTTCCTGACACTTCAATTGGAAAATCTGGAAAAAAAAGCAGCCGAAAAAAAAAATTCATCTTAATCACTTCCATTCTTGATACCAAAGTCAGGTACGGTATTAAATTCCATCTTCCCAAATCCATTTAAGCTTTGATATTGTTTTGCCATAATTTAAGGACTCCAATTTTTCAAGGTCTTTCAGTAAATTAATATATAAATACTTCATAGAGATCATATTCCAATTAACATTATACCTCTGTCTTGTGGTATGATTTGGTTCCTAGTTGAAAGATAGGACTTTGGTTTTTTGAACATTAATTTTGTACCCTGACAGCATGCCAAAATACTTAAAAGCATCCATCAGTACAGCCAATTATGACTCAGGATATTCCAGATAAATCAGGACATAATCAGCAAATAATTCTATTTTCTGTTCTGGACCTGCCACTACTATACCCTTGATGCTGTTGCTTTGTTTTATCCACTGGCTTAGTGGCTCCACAAAAATATCAAACAACAAGGAGCTTACTGAACATCCCTGGCGGCATCCTCTCTCTAATTTGTTCATGTTAGATAAGCAACCATTGATTTTAGTCCTTGCTATAGGACTTGTGTATAAAGTTCAGATGGGCTCAATGCGCCTTTCATGAAAGTTAAACCTCTTTATTGTTCTAAACAATGAATCTCACGGAATAAAATACCTTTTCTGAATCCATTTCCATTATTAATACTTCTAGTGTCTTCTCACTAAGATGTTGTATTATGTGTTATGTTCTATGAATATTTTCATGGGTTTGTCTTTGTTTTATCAATTCAGTTTGATCTTGCCTAATAATGTCCAGTAAAAATTTTTCAATGTGTAGTGCCGGAATTACTGTAAATAATCTATAATTTATATTAAGCAAACTTAAAGGCTAATAATTGGAACAGTTAGTGCAATCTTTGCCCTCCTTAGCAATTACTGATATGATTGCCTCTCTCCAGGAATCAAGAATAGCCCCTCCTTTCAATACCTGAATAAAGGTCATGTGTAATAGTGGAATCATTCATTTCATCCATCCATTTTCCAGCACGCTTAACCCAAGCAAGGTCGGAGGGGTGCTGGTGCCTATCTCCAGCTGTCTACGGGTGAGAGGCGGGGTTCACCCTGTACAGGTCGCCAGTCCATCGCAGGGCAATACAGCGACAAACATCTTTCACGCACACACTCTAATCTAAGGAGAATTTAGAGAGGCCAATTAACCTAACAGTCATGTTTTTGGACTGTGGGAGGGAGCCAGAGTACCCAGAGAGAACCCACACATGCACAGGGAGAACATGCAAACTCCATGCAGGAAGACCCCGGGCCGGGAATCAAACCCGGAACCTTCTTGCTAGAAGGCAGCAGTGCTACCCACTGCGCAGGCCATAGTGGAATCAACGATTCACTGGAAAAAATCTAAATCTAGATAAGTAAAATTTCCTTAAACTTTGGCCCCGTCCACACGAAGTCAAAACGAACACGAAACGCTAATATTTTCAAAACGTTTGTCGTAAAGACAGAGACGTAAAATAAATGTGATCGTCCACACGAATGCATGAAAACGCTGCAAAATGTATGCCAGGCCTGTAAGTGGCGCTGTGGTGCCAAAGCAAAAATAAGCGACGAAATGTTGGGCATGCGCAGTAATATTTATACATGGTTGCCCTGCGGGTCCATTTTCGTGGTTTAGTCAAATTCAGGTGCTGAACTATGTGGTCGATATTGCTCTGTTCTTCCTGGAGATATTCCAGAAGAAGAAGATTCTGTTGTAAGCCCGACAGCAGGGTGAGTAGCATGAGCAGCAACCATTCAACACAGTACAGCGCCATTGTTGTTGTGATACTGTGTCGCGCATGCGTGTTTAGAGGCGACGCTATGACGCATGCGTGTAAGAAAAAAAAATGCGGTTAGAGCTTAAAGATGGAAACGCGAAAACGCCGTTTCAAAATCTTCCCACTCTGAAGGCTGAATAAAAAAAAGATCGTTTACAGACCCCCGAAACGCCGGCTTCGTATGGATGAGAGGCTGGTTTGGTGAAAAATTTGTGAATTTAGGCCAGGGTTTGGCTTCGTGTGGACGGGGCCTAAGTGCATTTGTTCTTGAATTTAGGAGGTAAGTCAGAAACTTTGCCAATGGAACAAGACAATTTACATTTAAAATAAGAAAGAAATTTCCAGTGCATATTATCTAATTATCTTATTTTAAGAGTAAAAATGCTCATTCCATTGGCAGATAATCTTATTTACTCACTCAAATCAAGGGTAAATACACTTAATTTAAGACATTTTTACTTATTTCTAGATTGTTTTTGCAGTGTTCAGCGATCTATCCATCTGCCCCCGGTCTTTTATTACATTTGAGTGAAATTGCTTGGTTTATTTCGTCTCGATATGTCTGACACTGTGTTGACTGTGTGACTGTGTCATTGTGTTGCTCTTCACTCATCTGTGGTAAATTTAATCTATTTAGAAATTTATTAACATGAGATTATCACATCCTCATCTGTTTCTAGAATCTGGTAACATTTGTATTTATAGAACTGAATTGGGTAAAAAATATCAGGTCCTAAAAGAATCTGGTTTTCTTTAGGGTAAAAAAAAAAAAAATAAATAAATATTTCGAACTTTATAAAGGGGAGAATATTAAAACACAAGTATGTATATGTTATAGGTAATGAATAATAGATAAACATAGAAATTGACGGGTTTGTAGATCATTTTGTATTACTTTGTGATTCCAATTTGCTCATTTTTTTTCGAACTTTAAATATGTTTGATACAAACCTGAAATCAATGTGACTCTTAGAAACGTTTTCTCCATCTACAATGCTTTAAACTTGCTGATGCCTCAAACTGCATTTCAGGCCGCATGTTTTTGCAGCTTCTCGTGAATTATTGATATTATTTTAGTGCACAGCACTTTTGCACAACAAAAAGGCATATCTTAATGTTAGAGAGAAAATGCGACCGAGCAGGAGATGAGGAAAAATAGCGCTCACGCTGAAGATAGTCTTTCTCCTGTGTCTTATCTCCTTGCTGCTTTTGACTCGATAGCACTTAACCCGTTTTTCCTTCACCATTCGGTTCTACTCCCAGGATCTTCCCAGTGTAAGGAGATCCTGCCTATGGGGGCAGCCATACCACTTAGTGCTGACTTCTGACCAACCTTTTGCAACAATGCCAAGCAGGCAACAATGACTTCTCACTGTGAATCGGTGGCAGTCAGCCCACTGAAAACCAGAGCTAGAACAAAACGGGTTTGTCAATGGTTGCCTTAATTCATGCATGAGCAAACAGCAGAAGAGGTTCATACATGGATTAAAATCTGACCTTTGGATAAAGAAAATATTTGCATAATTACGGTGGCTTAATGTGACATTTTAGGTCAAACTGCTGCAAAGGGATATCCTAACGATTTTATGAAAAGGCCTTACTTTACCTCTCTGCATGAGTTACTAACGCTTGGATCTTTGCAGAAAAACAAACGTACATAGGTTAAACAAGCTTCTTAAGGGGACATGTTTAAGAACGCCATGTATACATTCCTCATGCACAAACACATGCCAATAAACCAAAACCAGTGATACTACCATGTTGCCATAACTACAGCTCCATGTCAGTAAACCACGTCTGTTGGCACGTGATGCTTGTATTCAGCATCACAAGAAATGGAAGACTAAGACAGAAAGCAGCATTGGCTCCATTGGAGGAACCAATTCATTAAAAAAGGACTTTTTATCCAAGCTTGTAAAAAAAAATAAAAAGACATCTTTCCAAAAACATGGGCAGCCTGGTTTTTCCAGAGAGTTCAGCATCTAAAAAGTTCTGACACTGCGATTCATATTCATGAGATGCCTATGGATTTATTTAGAGTTGAGCCTAGAAACTTTGCTGCAGATTTCTAAAGACGACGTGATGCTTTGGATTATTCATGAATGTGTTCTGGGACGAGTTTCTAAGGCCACATCATTTCTAAGGAGAACAAAATGCAGATCGTGTCTCCACATTTGTTTTATTCTATAACAAGATAAATGTTACTTACACATCTACAGGTACTCTTAACAGCAGTGGTAATATTGCTCCTTCATCCTTCAGCTCCATTAGTCGAGACTCCAGAAGCTCGATGATGCTCAGAGCCGTACGGACAACAGCTGGTAAACCTAACCAGAGAAAAAATTAGGTCACTAAAGATAACAGAACAGGGCAGGTTAAAAACTATACCAGGATTTATACTCCAATTTTAGACAGACAGACAGAGAGATATGGAGAGATAGATAGAGAGAGATGGAGAGAGAGATGGAGAGAGAGAGATAGAGAGAGATAGAGAGAGATGGAGATAGAGTGAGATGGAGAGAGAGAGATAGAGAGAGATAGAGAGAGATGGAGATAGAGTGAGATGGAGAGATAGATAGAGAGAGAAATGGAGAGATGGAGAGAGAGAGATAGAGAGAAATGGAGAGATAGATAGAGAGAGATAGAGAGAGATAGAGATAGAGAGAGATGGAGATAGAGTGAGATGGAGAGATAGATTAAGAGAGAAATGGAGAGATAGATAGGGAGAGATAGAGAGAAATGGAGAGAGAGAGAGAGATGGAGAGATAGATAGAGAGAGATAGAGAGAGATAGATAGAGAGAGATAGAGAGAGATAGATAGAGATAGAGAGATAGATAGAGAGAGATAGATAGAGAGAGAGATAGAGAGATTGAGAGAGATAGAGCGATAGATAGAGATAGAGATAGAGAGAGATGGAGATAGAGTGAGATGGAGAGATAGATTAAGAGAGAAATGGAGAGATAGATAGGGAGAGATAGAGAGAAATGGAGAGAGAGAGAGAGATGGAGAGATAGATAGAGAGAGATAGAGAGAGATAGATAGAGAGAGATAGAGAGAGATAGATAGAGATAGAGAGATAGATAGAGAGAGATAGATAGAGAGAGAGATAGAGAGATTGAGAGAGATAGAGCGATAGATAGAGATAGAGATAGAGAGAGATGGAGATAGAGTGAGATGGAGAGATAGATTAAGAGAGAAATGGAGAGATAGATAGGGAGAGATAGAGAGAAATGGAGAGAGAGAGAGAGATGGAGAGATAGATAGAGAGAGATAGAGAGAGATAGATAGAGAGAGATAGAGAGAGATAGATAGAGATAGAGAGATAGATAGAGAGAGATAGATAGAGAGAGAGATAGAGAGATTGAGAGAGATAGAGCGATAGATAGAGATAGAGAGAGATGGAGAGATAGAGAGAGAGAGATAAAATAGATAGAGAGATAGAGAGATAGAATAGATAGAGAGACAGACAGATGCAGAACATGTTATATCTGACAAAATAGTTTTTATACATTTTTTTTTAATAAAGCATTTAAAATGCCACGATAATCACATTCAATGAATTTTAATGCCATTTAGTGCCTTAATAAAAAAAAAAAAAAAGAATTTAATGACTTTTAAAGATTGTTAATGAGCCGCGGAAACCCTGTATACATACACTCCCCGGCTTGAATATTTTGATAATGGGCCTCAAAGATGCATGGAAGGTGTTCTTCTGAGCTATAACAAGTTCAGTGTCTGTAAATATTAAAGCTTTTAAATGTATGAAAAACGCAGTCTTCGGTAGTTGCTCCTTCAGTAGTGGCTTCTTCCTCTCTGAGTGCCTTTTGGGGAGCGACCAAATAACCTCATTTGCTTTTGTTCTGAGGTTTGTTCACGTTTTGTGCTAAAACAAGTTTATCTCGGTGACATAATCCTTCTCCTGCCGACTAGTGGATAGGGCATAGAGCTTGGAATCCAGAGGTTCTGAGTTCCAGCCCCACTTCCACAGACTGCCACTCTGGGTCCCTGAGCAAGACCCTTAACCCCAGACTGCTCACCAGGCGCCCCTAGATGGGTGCATTTAATCCACGGGATGGGTTAAATGCAGAGAGTGAATTTTATTGCTCTGTACTTGTGACAGTGTAATGACAACAATAAGCGGAGAAAAAAAAAACATGGTGATTTATGTTTATATATACCGTATTTTCACGACCATAAGGCGCACCGTACTAAAAGGCGCACTCTCAGTTATGTGTCCCATTTCTGTATTTAACACACACATAAGGCGCACCGGACTATAGGGCGCGTTTTTTATATACAGGTACATGTCCTCTACTACCTTTAAATACCTCTACTGCGTATTTAAAAATACAGCGGGGGCAAAACTGAGTATGACTGTGCTTTATTCATGTATTTATTACAAAGTATTAATCAAACCTGGCAGCTGGCCGTGAGACAGACACATCGCAGATGACAGAGCTGTGATGACTCCTAAATTAACTTAAAATCCTGAAACCTGCCGACGGAATATGTTCGCTTTTATTACCGGTATCCTGGTGCCTGCAGTTTAAATTATTTAGATGAAAAACACCTGCCAGCCGCCGCGGTGAACCCCAGGCTGCCCAGCCTACAGGCTGCTGATGAAAGGATTTCTCCTGTCGGCGCACCGCTGGTATGTGGGGGTCTGAGCGCCTCCGACCGAAATAGATAATCTGGATGAACTGACTGCAATTATTAAGTTTTCAGGTGGACTTTCTCACTTAAAAACATATTAAAACTACTTTATTCCCACTGATCACAGCAAATATAGCTGCAAGATATAGATTATTTAGATGAAAAACACCTGCCAGCCGCCGCGGTGAAGAGGAGGAGACCCGCCCAGAGGCTGCTGTTGAATTAAGTTTTCAGGTAGAAAAATACAGCGGGAGCAAAACTGAGTATGTTTGTGCTTTATTCATGTATTTATTACAAAGTATTAATCAAACCCATCAAAGTCATCATCCTCTGTTTCTGAATTAAACAGCTGCGCTAAATCAGACATGCCAATTTCCCCTTCTTCGCTGTCAGTCACTTTCCGTGCAGCGCGGCTCCTCAGAAATAATGCCGGCTTTTGCAAAAGCTTGAACAACAGAGCCAGCAGACACGTTAGTCCAAGCATCTACAATCCATCCTCTAAACGTGGCGTAACTTGCCCGGCGCTGTCTTCCACTTATCCTGAAACTGTGGTCTCTGTCGGCCATCCATCGCTCCCACGCCACTCGCAGCCTTACTTTGAACGGCCGCTTCACACCGATGTCGAGCGGTGGAAGTTCCTTTGTCAGACCCCCGGGTTAACGGCGAGCACAGCATCCATTTGATTCACCATGTTTTTCTCATCAGCTGTGAGATGGGCACGCATGGAGTCACATTAACTGCGATGGTGATGCGTGGAAAAAAACACCTGTTCTCCTCACATACACCTGCCTCAGCCACGCTTTCATCATCTCCTCATCCATCCAGCCTTTTTCATTTGCGTTAATATCATATGTCATCAGAGCGCTGTGTCTGTCTCGCTGTCAGCTCCCAGATCAGCTTCTCTGATTGGTTGATGCGGCGCGTCCAGCAGCAAAACTTCAATTTTTCCATCTCGAGCAGCAGCAGCGCGTTGGCGGTGCGTCAGATGCTTAAACGCTCCTGACGCGCTGCGCCTGCTGCACAAAACGCGCTGCGGGACCTTTTGCTGCACCTATACGCGCGTCAACCGTTGACTTTGCATGTAAACTTGCTGCTTCTGCTGCACCTGCTGGGTCCGGTTCACACCGATGTCGAGCGGTTGAACAGCGAGCACAGCGTTAATTTGTTTCCCCATGTTTTTCACATCAGCTGTGAGATGGGCACGCATGGAGTCACATATTAACAGCGATGGTGAGGGGTGGAAAAAAAACACCTGGTCTCCTTACGTTCAGCCACTCTTTCATCATCTCCTCAATGAGGTGGTCTCAAAAGTGGCAGTTACAACACACATAGGGCGCACCGCACCATAGGGCGCACCGCACATTTTGAGGGAAAAAAAAGACGTTTAAGTGCGCCTCATAGTCGTGAAAATACGGTATTAACTACGCCTGTGAATGCCATGGATCCCTTTAATGTTCTGCATCAGCCTTTTAAACAAGAGCGATAAAAATTATCTTTAGGTGTTCAGGCTTTAGGCTTTTAGCACAAATAAAACTAATCTAAACACTCCAACTAAAGAATTATATACAGTATAAATATATACTATACTATATTCTCACATAGTTTAACTAAATCCCCAATCAAAACTGTAAAATAGGATTTTTTTCTATTCAAATATGAAAACCCAACAAAGATGCTCTCAGTATTTGGTCTCTATTTCGTTTTGTTTTTGTGTGTTTGTGTATGTGCAGCACTTGCCTTGCAATATGATGAGATCCCAGACAGCCAGAACAGAGTCCCAGCAGGGCAGGGAAGTGAAGAGAGTGAGAAACCATGGCATCACGAAATGGACTGATAAGACTCCAGCCGAGTCCTGAAGGGAGGACAGAAAACAGGAAGGAGTGACCAACAATGTATTCAGGCTCTTTTTATGGACATTTGTGTCAAAATAATCTTTCTGAATGGATGCCAATTATCCAGCAACACATAATATTAACTTACTGTAATGTGAAATTTGCAAATTTGTTGTATACGGTAACTTTAGGCAGAATTTAGTTCTAAAACCTTCTGTGTTCAACCGGTTAGATCTTCAGCCCATCTCCCACCATCTGATTGTAATAAATAATACCTCTAAGCCAACTGCTAATGTAAAAACCTGCCTTAAAAAAAAAACACCAAGTATCTTCAGCTGATCTCCGCTGAACAAAGTGGAAAATGCACCAAGTCTGCTCTGCTTGCTTGCCTCGATTCTGCAGAAAATCAGAACCAGCTGGAGCTTCATCAGATCAAGACTGTGGAGATGTTGGTGAACTTCCAGAGAACAGGAAGCAGAACACCCCCCCATAACACTGTCTATTCAATTCAGTTCAATTCTGCTGTGGATCGCTTGTGAAGGGCGTCACACTGACAACGTTTGCAAGCAGGTCCAGTTCAGACTGTATGTCGTAATTTAAGAAATAAAACCTTACAAAAAAGCTTCTGGTCATATTTTGTAGAGTCCGTCTTTTCTACAAGGTTTAAAGTCACCAACAAAACAGGTCAGAGCCAGACAGAAGCAAACAAGGGCTGCAGAGATCATCTAATCAACCAAAAAGAGAAATACTGTCTCTTTAATTCTGATCCATTAAAAAAAATAAAAAAATTTACCTTCAATTACCTGTTTGCTTAGTCGGTTGTCTCTCATGTGTGTACTAAGGCTTTAAAAAGGTTTGTTTGAAAATTATTGAATTCTTCTAAGATGTTGAGGAAAGTTCTGGAGTGGAGATGTACAAATGTGCCTGGTTTATAAAACAAAAACCTACAAAAATATTTGACAGAGATTGTCAGAGAATATAAACTGGTTGCAAAGAGACGGACAGTGATCTACGGTGTGGTTGTGTTAAATCTTAACGTCAGGCTGCTAAACTTGAGTTACTCCATAAAGCATAAGAACAGGAAAGGAAACGGTTCTACTGTATATTATGATAAGTTAAAGCCACTAAAGCTGAACATTTTCTTATGAATGAGGTTGTTCTTTGTTAAGCCACTAAACTGACCTATGAGTCATTCAGGCAGGAAAAGGGATCTTAAAAGCAAAACCATAAACCATTTATCTGACGATAAACTATATATATATATATATATATATATATATATATTTATTTATTTATTTATTTACAGTGCATTTAGTCAATAACAGTTATAACAATGACACTATTTTGTTACATTAATCTATGCGACAAAGATGAATTCCAGAAAAAAAAAAAAAACTTTATTTATTTTTTTTTTATTTCCATTATATTAATGAAAGAAAACTGGATGGCAAAATATGAAAAAGAGAGATAACGCTTTCCTTCCATGTTTCTTTAGGTGAAAAATTGTTATGATTTGAGAAGTAAACTGGGTGGGTTGGCTTTGCCTCTCACACATCTCAATCAATCAATCAAAACTTCTTTTTTGTCAACTACAATTTAGACTGTAATCGAAATTTCAGTTTCAGTACAACCGTTCATCACAATACGTCACATACATTCGGTTGGGGGGGCTGATCTCTTCACTAATGCAGTAAAAAACTAAATTTTAACTGATTCCAGAATCGAAAAAGTAGAATTTAGACAAGTTGTAGCTTGCCATTCTATTCCTGTTTGTACATGTTTTAAATGGCACTCTGGAGGAAAAAAAGGAGTACGTCATGGCTATGACTGAGGCATTTACACTAGTAGGATGAAGTGGGTTTTTTTTCAACTCCATAGGACCAGAAATCCCCCAGTTTGGTAAAAGTAGTAAAAAAAAAAAAAAAAAAAAAAAAAGTTAAAATATATTTCAACTGCAGTTTCTGAAGTTTAAGTTTTTATTGTGGCGATAAACATTTATCTGTCATTATTTGGACAAAATCGATTTGTACAAACCCAGACAAATTCGATGTTACTCATTATCTGTCTAATGTGTTGTATAAATGTTTATTCAAGTCAATTTGGAAAAATAGATTCTACGGTGGGAGTCCTTAAATGTTTCTCTCTGTCAGTCTTTTCACACATGGATCTAAGAGGACGACTGAATGTGCCGAATGAATGCTTCATTCCCATTTTGTATTGTGGGAAAATGACATCCCTGCTGGAATGTACGCCGTGTAAAACTGCATCAACAATGACGAGCCTAAAGCCAATAGAGTGAATGGCTGAGGAGGCCCATCTGATGATGGATTCATTACACAGGCCTCTAGCAGAAGACTTACTCATCTCTTGGCTATGTGCTCTAAAACGATTGTTTGCAGTGAATTTATCTTGTTTCCGATATTATATTCTAAAGTCCACAGCAAACAGAAAAATCACAAGTTTACACCCATTTAAAAAATAAACATTGTGTAAGAATGAGACCAGGTACGGGATCCTCATGGGATAAATAGCAGGATTGTATCTTTAACAGAAACAGTACATATTTATTCAGAATCCTTGCTTTTCTCTTTTAAAGAAAAGCAAAGATTCCGCTTGTTGGTAATAATAAACTATGAGTAAGTTGCAGCCCCTTCTTGCTACATTTAAGGAAAAACATGATTACATGCAGTAACTGTGTGAATTTCAGTCACAAACAAGAAATAAAATCTGAGTAATAATCACAGTTCTTTAAGAAACAGTTTTCTTGAGGAAGCCTTTATTAAATGCATATATTTTTTACCAGTAATAGTTGTTAATGTGCAGCCATGTCTGCTATGCCATGCAGTCGCAACCACAAAGATGGCAATGATTGTTTTTGTTTGCTTTATTCATAACCGCTTAATCAATATCAAGATAGTAAGTCAAAATACTCAAAGTGCACGAAGGACAAAGGCATTAAAGAACCACGTAATAATCAATCCCATTATGGAGAAATGTCTTTATCATGATCAAAACAAGGAAAAGTGTCAAATAAAAAAAGTATGTCTATCTATCTATCTATCTATCTATCTATCTATCTATCTATCTATCTATCTATCTATCTATCTATCTATCTATCTATCTATATATATAGATAGATATCTATCTATCTATATATATATATATATAGATAGATATCTATCTATCTATCTATCTATCTATCTTTTTTTTATTTTTTTTTATTACCGCTGTCTAGTTTAGCCCTTTGAAGTTTTATTTTTTGCAGTATAAGGAACATGTGAACGTGTTGGGTGTTAAACCAAGGAACCTTTGTTTCTCACCAAGTGCTTGGAGAGCTGAGCCTTCCTGTGTTTGAGGAACTGATCAAACACCTTCACCTGATGTTGGACTCTGATTAGAAGAAAAAAAAAGGCCATTTGATTTTGTATCAGTGAAACAAACACAAAGTGACAACAAGGAGGGACTGTGGATGAAGTTTCAGGTAATGGATTTAACTATACCGATAACAGCATGATGTTCTGGGCTTTATCTTTGGTCTCATTTATATAAAACGGTATTTGAAAATGTAAACAGTTTTGGCTGTTATACCACAATGCGTTTTTTTTTTCTTTTACCTATTTGAGCCAATGTAAAGAGTAAGAAATAAAAAGATGTGGACAGTTTGACTTTGTCAAACTGTCAGGAACCTTAAGTGAACGGCATCAGAAATAAACGCTAAATACTTGAACAGTACACACTTCTCCGAGAAATCACCATCAATTTTCACTCTGATTTATGGTTTTACAAAACTGTAATTTAAAGCAAGGCAGTTTTGTGCCCCTTTAAACCAGTTCTTACTTCGTGAGACTGAGGTCAAACAGTTCACCCAGATATCTGGGTTTATCCAACAAGGCTGCCAGAGCCCAGAAAGCCTCCTCCTCTCCCAGCTGCATCAGCAGCACAGCAGCTATGTAGGACATGCCTGCATACAAACACAAAGACACACTAGTATCATTTTAACTCTAAAGGACAAAAATTACTTTAAGAATTGTTAATACAGAAAAAATGTGCCAATGTGTTGTAAGATAACAGCCAGATTCTGTAAAATTAGCAGGATGATTGTTTATATTCCGGTTAGCCAAAGCTAAAAGTTGTAAAATAATTTCTAACTTAACTGATCAGTATTTGAAATCATATTAAGGTAAGAAAAATGAAACGGTCCATGTCAATATGGATGGACAGTTTAAGTGCCAATATTGCTTCTTTTTTAAACATTTACATAATTAGAATTGCGCATTGATAACAGATGTTGTGCAAGTATCAATTTAAACAAAAAATGAAACATTTCTTAACAAATCAACACTCTAACAATGGATGGTTAATGGAGGAAGTGTCGATGCAAGTGCCGTACTTAATCGGCGAATGTGTGCAACCATCAGCCGATGTAAGAATGCTACTATTGGCCATAAATATCGTAAACCAAATCTCTCATGGGGTTTCAATATCATTACCTATATTTGATGTTATTTTACAGTTCCTTTGGCCACCTAATCTAGATGAAAATAGAAAATCCTTCTTACATACTCTCTGTATTAACAAGGTGACAAACTTTCATTTTTTTTATTTTGGTCTTAGGGCAGTAGAGGCCAAATGGAACAACAAAATGACTTTTCTGTAGATTTATAGTTTTATATATATACAGTTATATAACATTTATTCTACTAGTTGAAAATGAACAGGTGTTGTTTACACAAAGTTAAAAGTGTGTAACTTAATTTGGGAAACTGACTGAGCTAACCTGTCATTTACCGACCATGTCTTTATATCATGGTCTTACAGTTACTTAGTTCAGCAAAAACAGAGCTTTTAAGTTTTGTTATCCATCTGGTAAAACGTCATTTATCATAGATAAACGAACACTAGAGTTGCACCCAACTCAGCATGCGGACTCTGCATTATGTTATCATTGTCTGGGCTACCCACAATGCTTTACACCAACATGGCAACTTTCAGACAGTCATGTAGTGACAGGTCAAAGGTATGCGCATGGCCCAAGCAGACCTGACCACCGGAGCAGATCTGGCAGCTACACCGTTAATCATCTGTTGAACTAAATCGTGAATAATACAGAAGAGAAATAAAAGAAACTTGGGAATTAAAACAAGCTGTTGTGATGTATCTGATGAGATGCAGAGTTTAATCGGAAACTGATATCCAAAGAGGATCTTATTAAAGAATTAGATTTCTTTTTTTGTGGCTCAGCTGCTGTATGTTTAAAACCTACTTAGCAAAAAGTTTGAAGATGGAAATAAAGTAGAAGAACAGAGAGAAAGAATAAAGACACTGATAATAATAATGGGTTAAAGAACAGTCCTTTAACACCAAGTGGTTAATTTTTGAATGTTATTTATATGGAAAAGGGGAACTGGCAAGATGAGCAACTTGTTTAAAGCTATTAAATAATGCTTGGTTGATTGTTTGAATTAGCGAAGAACACAGGAAAGGATTAAAGACAGATTAGAGAAAGACATAAGGTGCGTTAGGATATCTGCTACAAAGGACACCGGTGACGACATCAGGAAGGAATAATGAAACTAATGAGGTCACAAAAACCTAGATGTCCAAAGTGGTTAGAGAATTTGCTGATCAACTACTGTAGTCACTGCTTCCCTTTGTGAAAATTTTATACAAGCAGGTATGGCAGGTAAAACACAGGGTATAATGTGGAACAGATGAGGGAGAACAGAGAGGATGATGAAGCAGGAGAGAAGTAGATAGTGACTGTTTTCAGAAAGTGTTGCATTTCATAAATCAGTGAATAAATAGGATTTATTAACCTGAAAAAAGTAAAATAAAGACAAATCTTTGGAGGGAGAAGGTAGGCATGGGAGCTGGGGTGTTTTGTGTCTCTATAATCCTTAAAGGGGTCATAGAATGTAAACCGAGTTTACATTGTCATACTGTAGATGAATAACAATAGTTCAGTGGGTGAAATAGACATACAGAGAAGTTCAAACCCCATCGACTCCTCCTTTCTCAGCAAATCTCACAATTCTAAACTTCCACCATAAAACGCCCAAATTCAAACGAAGCACCAAATTGATGTCAATTCGAGAACGTTGCCTTATTTAGTTCTGTCCTGTACTTTTGTCACGCCTCGAAATTTACATACTTCACTGGCCCAAGAACATGAATAGAGGTAGATGTAAGACACCAGTTTAGCCGTTTAGCCTACAGATGGGTTTACTTCTACAACAATTACAAAGCAGACAGTTTCTCTATTGAAAATGAGTGAGAACCACAGGCGGAAATGCAGTGTTCCAGGCTGCACGCATAAAGCGAACATTTTTCAGTCTTCCCAAGGATCCGAAGACTCGACAGGCATGGATTATTTTTGTCTATCAGAAGATCCCTGCTAAGTTTGATGCTCAGCTGTTCAAATGCTCTAATCATTTTACGGAAGACAGCTTCGACTGCTGGGCCGCTGACTGGACCAGACCTCAGCAGACAGCCATGAGCTGCCCGTCCTCAGCCAGAGGAGGCAGGCAGGGGGAAGCACGGGGCAGCCGTTGTACAGGCCATCATCAATAGTTTGGGTTTGTTTGCTCTGTTGTTTCATTCTAGGGCTTTTAACCAGGCTTGCATTAGGGCGCATAGAACAGCAAATATGCCATTTTCAGCCAAACCAATGTTACACACCCTATACAGAGACCTTAAGGACCAGCAGCAAATACCATTAATTATAATCATTCTATGACCCCTCTAAAGACTTCACCATCATAGGGGCCAACAGGGGCCAGTGCCCCTTAAAATGAGGGTGTTCATTTTTTTGAAATTTAGAAAAAAAACAAATGCCATAAAAATTAAATACGATTTCAAATTATACTTTCAACAGATTCCATATTTTTATCACATCATAAAGGGGTCAAAATGTTTATAAACGTATAAATTTTAGTTGAAACAAAATAATATAAAATGGTTTTGAATGTCAACTTTTTACCTTATAGACTGAGAAACTCAAAAAGCAAACATAAAATAATAAGAATTTTATCTAAATTCTTCCCCTTAGCTTGAAAAAACTCAATTACTTTTAGTATTTTAATTACACTTTTATTTTTCTTATTTCTTTTCTTTATTGCAATTTTAGATTTTCAAATTCAAACCCCTATTTTAGTTTCAAATTCACATTACAGTTTCAGGATTTTTTATTTATACTTTCAAATCAGGTTTTTTTCACATTCAGATTTTGACCCTAATCTGACGGGAGTGGGCGGGGAAACGTGAGTGACAGCTGCAGCAGCCCTGTAGAGATGCCCTGTTCCATGTTGCATTCACGGACTGTGGGAACTCCAAGGACTTGGGCAACACATTCTCAACAACACATTTGACATTTTTGATGAAATCCTTTGAAAAATATTACATTAAAGACATTTACACTGGAACTGTCACTAATAACCATTCCAGGATGGGTTAATATATATAAAAATATACAGTAATTGTATAAACTATAAACTTTTCTATGACCGCAGAGTAAATTCTACGGTCGTTCACTGAAAGATGGCGTCTGCACCGAGTGGCTCGAGCAACACAGCTAATCAGGTAAGAAAGGATAATAACTTTCATCATGTAATTTTTGATCAGGACCTGACATTTAAATCTTATATCAAAGAGGTTTCTAGAATTTTCTTCTTTCATCTGCGGAATATTGCAATACTTAGAAATCTCCTGTCCGGGGGTGATGCTGAGAAACGAGTCCATGCATTTGTTACTTCAAAGCTGGACTATTGTAATTCTTTACTATCAGGAAGTCCACAAACTGTAGTTAAAAGCCTTCAGCTGATCCAAAATGCTGCAGCCAGATGATGATCATTAAAAACAGGGATCATATCTCTCCTATCCTGGCTTCTCTTCATTGGCTTCCTGTTAAATCCAGAATAGAATTTAAAATCCTCCTTCTCACATATAAAGCCTTAAATGGCCAAGCTCCATCTGATATCAGAGATCTGATTGTTCCTTATGTTCCTAACAGAGCACTTCGCTCTCAATCTGCAGGTTTACTAGTGGTTCCTAGAATTTCTAAAAGTAGAATGGGAGGTAGATCTTTTAGTTATCAGGCTCCTCTCCTGTGGAACCAACTACCAGTTTTAGTCCGTGAGGCAGACACCCTGTCTACTTTTAAGGCTAGGCTTAAAACTTTCCTTTTTGATAAAGCTTCTAGTTAGAGTGGCTCAGGTTATCCTGAGCTATCTCTATAGTTCTGCTGCTATAGGCTTAGACTGCTGGAGGACATAGGGCCCCCTATTTCATAATTTTGCTTCATTCTATCTCTATTCTCCCACTCTGCAAAATCTGTTAGTTCAATCTCTAACGTTCTGCTCTCTCTGCTTTTTCTCATAGTAGCTTCGCCTCGTCTGTTCCTGTTTGGTTGTGACTCCATCCTGGAGAGAAATATCAGCTGTGCTGCTGCCATCAACACCTCTGTTTATGAATGTTGGAAAGCGGCCTGTTTTTCAGTGTAGTCCTGTTTCTCTGACTGTGACTGGCTGGATGTGCTCTCTTAATCCTCTGACATGGGAGCTGGCTCGGAGCTCGTCTGCCTGGCTGTGTTTCCTGGACGGGGTCGCCTTTTACAGCTGCTTTTTGTATCTCTGCTTTTGTCTTCTTGAAACCTAGTCGGCCTCGGCAGATGGTGTTCTTCAAACTGCTAACGTGAATTGTCTATGCCATGCTGCAATGTTGGATTCAGAAAAAGATGTTGAAATGTCTGAAAAGTCGGACACAGGCGAGAGCGTATCGGGAGATGGAGACCAACAAGACCTCCCTCATCCTTGGCCCTATCTCAAAGAAATTTTCCAAATAGTCAAAAAATTGACCTTTCAGTTCATATGGTGGCATCTGACTGTTTTTCTTAAAGGTTACTTTATACTTTTATACTTTAAGTAGTTTCTGGAGCACATACTTTTTAACTTTTACTTGAATAAAGAGGTCAAGTTGATACTTCAACTTTTACCAGAGTGTTTTTTACCTGCAGTATCTATACTTCTACTGAAGTAACAAAGGTGTTTACTTTTGACATCACTGCTGTTAACAAATAGTAGAAATTTGGCACATTCAGTAATAAAATGTCACAGGGGATTGTATGGGGGGGGGGGGGTCATTTAAGAAGATGGATGATTTTAAGATTTTTTTAAAAAGGGCGATACCCTCCCCCCCTCTACTAGAGTACTGTGTATACATTAGGGCTGCAACAACGAATCGATAAAATCGATAAAAATCGACTTTTAAAAGCGTTGGCAACGAATTTAATCATCGATTAGTTGTGTCGCGCGATTAATGCGTCATCCGCCGCCGCCGTCATCCGGGGGAAGAAAAAAAAATATGACGGAGCGAGTCAGCGCCGCAGTTGCAGTGTTGCCAACTCAGCGACTTTTCAGACCCCTCCAGCGACTATTTTTCAAAAAAGCGACTGGCGACAAATCTGGCGACTTTTTACGGTGTCACTGGCGGCTTTTGCCTGCCGTGGGGCGCCTCCCCCATCCCAACCCCTTTCTCCCTCTCCCACAGGAATCCCTCTCAGCGCTGCAGTCAGAGTCAGAGCCGCAGGATTTTAGTGAGGAGTTTAACCTCAGCGTCCAGACTGCAAATGAAGCGCGCATGCGCCGGGATTGACGGCGCAAATTGATCACAATAATTAAAATAGCCTGCGCTTTGTAAAGTGAAAAAAGTCATAACATGCAACTTTTGTCAAAACAAATGAACATGGCACGGAAGCACTACTGTTATGATGCAGCACCTGAAAAGGAAACACGTTGGAGCCTTCAATGGCAGTGAAGAGAGCTGATCAGCAGGATGAGTAACCATGTTTGTTTCATTTTAAAGTGGGGAAACGTAAGTTAGTTTCTCAGGTAGCTCATCTGATGCTTTCCTTACCTTGTTAGTAGGTTACAGACAGTGATAAGGTTGGCTACTTATTTTACTTTTAATTTCATTTAAATTTGGTTAAGCAGCGTTTATATTTTCTTTATAAATAAATTAACTTGCAAATTATGAGGGCAAGGCTTTTAAAGTTTAAATCTTCTGGCAAAGATAAAGAAAAGAAGATCCTGCAATTTATGGAAGTAAAGCAGAACAAAATCCAGCAAGATCAGTAATATGTCAATTAATTATCTGCCACATTCCCATGTAAATATCTGTCTTTGGAGGATGTGTTTTTTTACCACCCCTAGTTCTCTCATTTTTATTCCAAATACAATTTATAATTAGAATCACAGGGCTATTTTTATCTCTATGGTTCAGTATTTTCTCAAGTAGCAACTTTAACTGCTATACTTTCCTGTCTTAAAAGGCAGAACTCTTCTAGTCTAAAAAAAACTCATTTGTTGAAATGGGGGGACCTATTGTTTGAACCCCTTAGGGGCTTTAAAAAACAAAAATGCCTGTCTCTTTTTGCGCTTTATGAAACAAAGTAGCCTATATTTTGTGGATGTACAGCTACATTTCTCATGTAAGTTTGCGTAGTTTTTACACAAACATTTATTTTTCATATTGCACCAGTACAGTTAATGAGCAACCTGTACTTGTGTGCTTGTTTGTTCTGTCTAAAATGTTTATTTTGGAATAAAGAAGTTAATATAAAATTTTTTTTTTGTCCGATTCATCGATTAATCGAAAAAATAATCGGCCGATTCATCGATTTTTAAAATAATCGTTAGTTGCAGCCCTAGTATACATATTTAGTAGTTGGATTAGTTAGATGAGTGATTTGTCAGGAACAGAGAGACATTCAGGAATATGTTTAATAAGGAGCCCTTACCTTGGCTGTAACCAACTTGTGGGTTGTATTTTGCATAAGCGATGAGGACCCTGAAGAGTTTGGCCTGGCCCTCGATGGCCTCTGGGCTCTGTCCCATCAGGGATCGATGGGTTGGGAAGGATCGCTCTGTGATAGGAAAAGATCAGGCGCATTAAACTAAATGTATTTCTTCTTCCCTGCCTGCATCTCATTTGAAATGATCTTTCCATAAATGCATGTGTACATGTATATAAAACCAATGACACATAAGATTATAGAAGGGTAGTGTGACCTGCATTAAGAATGGAAAATGATTGAATAAAAATGACCTTATTTAAGTCTGGAGGAGATATCCGTTTACATTTTTATCCCTGAACATTCTTACTCAAAACGCAGATATTACAAAAACAAAATCTAGAGTGTTGTGAGTATGAATTTGCTGCCTAACTTTTTTGTAACATCTAAAAATGAGAAACATTTTAAAAATAAGACCAGTACAGACAAGAGGATCTCAAATTATTTCTACTGATGAAAAAAGTGGTGTCAAAAAAACAATGTATAATGTCATAGAAAGATTATGCTCCTTTTTTTTTAATAAAGCTGAGATTGGGTAGCATGACCTTATAAAGTGTTTATGCAGAATTTATTTTTATTTTAAATAAGAAATATCAGTTTAGAAAGTGTCTTTTAAATAATAATTGAAATTATCTGTCTATAAAGTCCATCAAGGTTATTTTTAATTACTGTTTTTTTTTTTCAATCTTAATTAAATTTTGTGTCATTTCAAATCATCATGGGTAATAAAAACAGAATCAGTCAGTAGGAAGTCACTGTAGTACTTTGTCAGGACAGTTTAAGCCTTTCATGTTTATTCGTAATAACTTTGAATTTATTTTTCCGTGTGAACTTACGTAGGTCCAGGGCGATCTGCCTGAAAAGAGTTATTTCATCCATAGAGTAGAAAGAGTCAGAGGAGCTTGATGGCTGCTGCTGGTTCAAACGCAGATCGTTCTGGGTTTCACTCAGGGTAGTGATGGCAGACAAAATGCCATATTCACTGACGCCAAGATCCACAAGCGGCCCGCGAACTTCAGACAAACACGTCTGTAAGGGAATGAAAACAAACTAATTAAAAAATAAATAAACACCTTGGCTTATGAGAGAACTCTATACATGTGCTTCAATAAGCAAAATGGAAAGAAAAGCATTTAGGCTAAAACATAATAATTCATCCATCCATCCATCCATCCATTTTCTGTCACGTTTAACCCAAGCGGGTGGCGAGGGGTGCTGGTGTCCATTTCCAGCTGTCTACGGGTGAGAGGCAGGGTCAAAACATATAAATTATTTGATCTGAAATAAAAAAATTATAAATAAAAAAAAAACACAATGTGCCCCAATTCAGATTTTTTTGGGGTCAAGCGATCAGGTCTGGTTGTTTGGAACAAGTGAGGATTCTCAGATATCCAGCTTTTTATTGTTATTACTGGGGATCGGAATCAGAAACCGGTTCCTGTTCAGGTAGCTCGCTTAACGATTCTCTTAACGATTCCAGGCAGCAGCAGAGCCTAGCGCTGGGCAGCACGACTTACGTCACCTTTTTTACGCAAGTTACGCACAAGGCATTTAGTAAGCAAGTAAGACGCGACCAGGTATAAGTCTAGAAAAGGAAAAAAAAAAAACATTCAAAGCATTTGAAAGTTAACATTTATTTTTAGTAAAGCACCTTGTTGTCATTGTAAATTACATCCGCAGGAGGAAATACATCCAACATGCAGAAACACCTGCGCACACAACATGGCATACATTTTAACGAATGCCGTTTTTTTGATTCACCCGGAAAGAAGCTAAAGTTACAACCAGCATGGAAGGCAACTCTGGTCATAAGTAGGTAGTTTTATATCACTGGCTGTGCTTAATGTGGTTCCTAGTAAATCATATGCCATTTCTGGAAATAAACCAGTTTCCTACCTCTCTTTGAGGTTATTAAGGGAGTGTGCCTTTCTCCTTAATCCAGCCCTTCATTGCTAGCATGTTTAATTAGAACTACTGGAAGCTAAAATTCTTACATGATTCTAGCTGTTGCAATGGATGTAACGAAACATGCTACGAAGTGGCTACGCAGTTCAGTGAGAGAGAGAAAGGTGACGCTCGTTTATTTAAATCAGGGAAAGAAGAGTTTATTTACCGAAATTGTACAGTAATGCTTTTTCATTAAACAGATGCCTTCTCCATTAGAATTAGATGACTGCGACAAGACTAGTAGCCTGGCTGCTCAGAGGCTGGCAGCTCCTGTTCACGGACTTCTGTTTTCGCCGAGGTAGGCAGAAATTTAATGTCCCAGGCGAAGGTAGACTAATGTCACCGTACACTTACCAAGTTAATTGTTTCACAGAATCGATAAGGAATCAAATCATTTCACAGAGTCAATAACAAAATCGTTACACTGTCACAAGTAAAGAGGAACGACATTCCCTCTCTGCATTTAACCCATCCCCTTGGGGAGCAGTGTGCTGCCATTGTGCCGCAGAGTAGCGGTCTGTGGCAGGGGAGCTCGAACCCAGAACCTCAGGATTTCAAGCTCTACGCTCTAACCACTATCTTCACTCCCCAGATCTGGCCTGTGTCTGACTCTTTTAGTCAGATACAGGAATCCTGATTTCCCAGCATCCCTAAATCTGTTTGGAAAGTGACTCCACTGGGAACGACCAATGCGGTTCAGACTTTGATGTCATTTTCCATCAAATTTGTCATAATTTTTGTGCCGCCAAGCAGAAAGTTGGAAAAACAGACAGAAGATGGGATAGTAACGCTGCAAAAACTGATCTGAAACTAAGTAAAATGTTCCTGAATATTTGAATTTGCTCCTGATTTTAAGAAGGTAGATAAAATTATTTACCAATGAAATGAAAAAGATGATTGGAAATTATGGATTTGAAATAACACCTTTTTCTTCATGAAAATGTTTTATTGTTTTTTTGTGCATACAGATCAGTTTGGAATCACAAATGGTTCATATTGAAGTCAGATACAGGCAACATTTTTTAACGCAATGGGGACAACAGAAAGAAAGCATATTAAGATCTGCAGTTGCAGTGAGTGACCATAGAACCACAGTGACATCTGCTGGACAAACTCTGCATCTACATCTTTCCAGGGAAGTCGTTTCCAACACTACAGTTACAAAAGATGGTGGGGATTTAAAATAACCACTGGCTTTTAAGAAGAGAGGTTATATAAATTTGACTTCAAAGGTAATGAATTTTTATCTCAACACAAACTGAGCTAAATCAGGGGGCAAAGCCTCATCCTGTGTATTACCCTGAACCTTCCTCTGTGCTGGTTTAAATGCAATAGTGTCTGTCACTATAGGCAAGTAAGAACGCACTCAGACCTCTTATTTATAAAACGCAACCAATAACAGAAAAAACAGAGGCTCAATTACTGTGAGGAGAACTTAAGGACCAGAGCTACAGCTGAAGGGGTTTTAACTAAAGGGATCAGATTGCCACTAATGCAGAGCTTGTTCAGCAACTAGAGCAGGAAGATACAAGTATTCCTGCAGGGATGGTGAAGGAAAAACATTAGGACTTTGGTAGAAGGAAGGAAGAAAAAAAAAAGACAAATAGACCCTGACATTTTATAGCAATGATGAGGACTGGACTATAAGGGTCCGGGAAAAGGGGAGCATCCTGAGATGAAAAGCTAAGTCCTGTGTCATTTTGATGATGCATTTCGATCATTGATGTGTGCTATTGCTTGATGTTAAAAGGATTGACCTGGTGCACAACTCGACCTGTAAAAAGCTGCTATAAATGATAAAATTGGCTTCAAAACATTTTTAGAGAGCAACTTTGCTCATTGATCCGAAAGCAAAGTGGATGTGAGAGCTTTTTTTCTATTTAGTTTAACTATTTAGCTTAATGGTTTAAATTATTAACATTTTGATCCCAATAACGCGATAATTTTGACAGCACTACTATATATATATATATATATATATATATATATACATATTAGTGCTGTCAAAATTATCGCGTTATTATCGCGTTAACGCGAGGCCATTTTAACGGCGATAATTTTTTTAACGTGAGATTAACGCTATGTGGTTTTATGGTACAATTTTCCAAGTACATCCCGCTGCAGCCTGCGGGAAGGCGGGGCTATTTTCCCCCAGTCTATGCATTTCTCATAGGCTTCTAGAGCGGAGCTCCTCAAGGGAAAAAGACGCTAATACACTGGGTGGCGCTAGTGCCTTTTCTTTAAGCCCCACCACCAACAAACAAGTTGAGTGTCTGGTAACTAGTAGCAACCTGAAATACGCTGAGAAAACAGATTACTGAGGTGAAATGGAATCTGCTACGGCACTCTTGCTGTCTGTGTACGCCACAGGTCGGTATCGTGTGTGTGTGTGTGTGTGTGTATGTGGGTGGGTGGGAGGGTGTGTCTGTGTGTGGGTGTGTGTGTGTGTGTTCTCATTTTTGTTAAGAGGCTGAAAAGTAACTTTCTAGAGCATAGACTACCTCCATCTAGTGATGTCGGTCTATTGATTTTGATGTATTGATTGAAAATTGTTCATTATTATCTTGGTTAATTAACATCTAATGTTAACTGTACTACATTTTATAGCAGTAGGGTAAAATGCTTGTCTTTGTTCAAAAGACTGTATTGACTGTAAAGACTGTCTTTTACATCAGCCTGTTTTCAGGGCCTTTTTTTTTGGCTACATATTTGTTATTTTTTGCTACATGCCTCCCCATCTTCTTGCCATATGTTTCTATGGCATAAATCAGTGTCTGTGACCTGTTTTCATTTAAAAAAAAGGAACGTTGGCACAAACCTAGCCTGTATGTATTTTTTGTATGTCATCGAGAGTATTTAAATGACTTTCAATCAGAAAAAAAATTTGCGATTAAAATGCGATTAATCGCGAGTTAACTCAGGCATTGATGCGATTAATCGCGATTAAAATAATTTAATCGATTGACAGCACTAATATATATATATATATATATATATATATATATATACACAGGTGCTGGTCATAAAATTAGAATATCATGAAAAAGTAGATTGATTTCAGTAATTCCATTTAAAAAGTGAAACTTGTATATTATATTCATACATTACATACAAACTCATATATTTCAGATGTTTATTTTGTTTAATTTTGATGATTACAAATGACAACAAATGAAAATCTCAAATTCATCATATCAGAAAATTAGAATATTACTGAAGACCAATAAAAACAAAGGATTTATAGAAATGTTGGCCAACTGAAAAGTATGAACATGAAAAGTATGAGCATGTACAGCACTCAGTATTTAGTTGGGCCTCCTTTGGCCTGTATTACTGCAGCAATGCGGCGTGGCATGGAGTCGATCAGTCTGTGGTACTGCTCAGGTGTTATGATAGCCCAGGTTGCTCTAATAGTGGCTTTTAGCTCTTCTGAATTGTTGGGTCTGGTGTATTGCATCTTCTTCTTCACAATACCCCATAGATTTTCTATGGGGTTAAGGTCAGGAGAGTTTGCTGGCCAATTAAGAACAGGGATACCATGGTCCTTCAACCAGGTACTGGTAGCTTTGGCACTGTGTGCAGGTGCCAAGTCCTGTTGGAAAATGAAATCTGCATCTCCAAAAAGTTGGTCAGCTGCAGGAAGCATGAAGTGCTCTAAAACTTCCTGGTATGTGGCTGCGTTGACCCTGGACCTCAGAAAACACAATGGACCAACACCAGCAGATGACATGGCACCCCAAACCATCACTGACTGTGGAAACTTTACACTGGACTTCAAGCAACGTGGATGAAGTGCCTCTCTTCTTTTCCTCCAGACTCTGGGACCTTGATTTCCAAAGGAAATGCAAAATTTACTTTCATCAGAGAACATGACTTTGGACCACTCACCAGCAGTCCAGTCCGGTTTCTCTTTAGCCCAGGCAAGACGCTTCTGACGCTGTCTGTGGTTCAAGAGTGGCTTGACACAAGGAATGTGACAGCAGAAACCCATGTCTTTCATACGTCTGTGTGTGGTGGTTCTTGAAGCACTCACTCCAGCTGCAGTCCACTCTTTGTGAATCTCCCCCACATTTTTGAAGGGGTTTTGTTTCACAATCCTCTCCAGGGTGCGGTTATCTCTCTTGCTTGTACACTTTTTTCGACCACATCTTTTCCTTCCCTTCGCCTCTCTATTAATGTGCTTGGACACTGAGCTCTGTGAACAGCCAGCCTCTTTAGCGATGACCTTTTGTGTCTTGCCCTCCTTGTGCAAGGTATCGATGGTCGTCTTTTGGACAACTGTCAAGTCAGCAGTCTTCCCCATGATTGTGTAGCCTATAGAACTAGACTGAAAGACCATTTAAAGGCTTTTGCAGGTGGTTTGAGTTAATTAGCTGATTAGAGTGTGGCACCAGGGGCCATCAATTTTGAACCTTTTCACAATATTCTAATTTTCTGATATGATGAATTAGAGATTTTCATTTGTTGTCATTTGTAATCATCAAAATTAAACAAAATAAACATCTGAAATATATGAGTTTGTATGTAATGTATGAATATAATATACAAGTTTCCCTTTTTAAATGGAATTACTGAAATCAATCTACTTTTTCATGATATTCTAATTTTATGACCAGCACCTGTATACGTATATACACATACATAGTACAGACCAAAAGTTTGGACACACCTTCTCATTTAAAGAGTTTTCTTTATTTATACTGAAGGCATCAAAACCAAGAATTAACACATGTGGAATTATATACTTAAAAAGTGTGAAACAACTGAAAATATGTCTTATATTCTAGGTTCTTCAAAGCAGCCACCTTTTGCTTTGATTACTGCTTCACACACTCTTGGCCTTCTCTTGATGAGCTTCTAGAGGTCGTCACCTGAAATGGTCTTCCAACAGTCTTGAAGGAGTTCCCAGACATGCTTAGCACTTGTTGGTCCTTTTTCCTTCACTCTGTGGTCCAGCTCACCCCAAACCATCTCGATTGGGTTCAGGTCCGGTGATTGTGGAGGCCAGGTAATCTGGAGCAGCACCCTATCACTCCCATTTTGGATAAAATAGCCCTTCCACAGCGTGGAGGTGCGGAAGATGCTGTGGTAGTCATGCAGGTTAAGTATTCCTTCAATTTTGAAATCCCCAACAGAGTCACCAGCAAAGCACCCTTACACCATCATCACACCTCCTCCTCCATGCTTCAGTGGGAACCAGGCATGTAGAGTCCATCCGTTCACCTTTTCAGCGTCGCACAAAGACACGATGATTGGAACCAAAGATCTCAAATTTTGACTCATCAGACCAAAGCACAGATTTCCACTGCTCTAATGTCTATTCCTTGTGTTCTTTAGCCCAATCAAGTCTCTTCTGATTGTTGCCCATCCTTAGCAGTGGTTTCCTAGCAGCTATTTTACCATGAAGGCCTGATTCACACAGTCTCCTCTTAACAGTTGTTGTAGAGATGTGTCTGCTGCTAGAACTCTGTGTGGCATTGACCTGGTCTCTAATCTGAGCTGCTGCTAACCTGCGATTTCTGAGGCTGGGCACTGGGATGAACTTATCCTCCGCAGCAGAGGTGACTCTTGGTCTTTCTTTCCTGGGGAGGTAATGTGAGCCAGTTTCTTTTTGCACTTGATGGGTTTTGCGACTTCACTTGGGGACACTTCCAAAGTTTTGCCAATTTTTCGGACTGACTGACCTTCATTTCTTAAAGTAATGATGGGCACTCGTTTTTGTTTACTTAGCAGCTTTTTTTTCTTGCCATAAGACAATTCTAACAGTGTATTCAGTAGGACTATCAGCTGTGTATCCGCTTGACTTCTGCACAGCACAACTGATGGTACCAACCCCATTTATAAGGCAAGAAATCCCACTTATTAAACCTGACAGGGGACACTTGTGAAGTGAAAACCAATTTGGGTTACTACCTCTTGAAGCTCATCAAGAGAAGGCCAAGAGTGTGCGAAGCAATAATCAAAGCAAAAGGTGGCTACTTGGAAGAACCTAGAATATAAGAAATTTTTTTCTGTTAAGTATATATTTCCACATGTGTTAATTCATAGTTTTGATGCCTTCAGTGTGAATATTAAATTTTCATAGTCATGAAAATAAAGAAAACTCTTAGAATGAGAAGGTGTGTCCAAACTTGTTGTCTGTACTGTATATATATTACTGTATTCCACAGTTGTACAATAAAATGTTCTCTATAAATATTTTAGATGACATAATTTAGCTTCCTTCTTATTTTCTGCGGTTTTCATCAAAACCTACCTGATAGTTGAATTCACTGGATTCTCTCAGACTGTCGATGTTGAGAAGGCACTTCCACACTCTCCCTCGTAGACTTGGAGGAATGCCCATCCTGATAAACCGTTCAATCTGAAAACAACAATAATAAAAACATTTTATTTCAAAGGCGCCTTTCTGGACACTCAAGGTCACCGCAAAAAATAGAGGTTTAAATACTGATTGGCTAAAATAATGCAGGAAATATTTCCAGTGTTTGTTGAAAAACACTAACCTGACTCCTGCAGATGAAGCTGGCTCCATTCCAGTAGCTGAGCAGTTCACACAGCTCCTTCACCCTCACCAAGCTCAGCTGAGGGTAGCTGACAGAGAAGATATTAGCTGATTAACCCCAAATGTTAAGTCATCCATCAGTGCATTGCTTTCCATTCACTATTTTTATTTGATCGGAGGTCAGGAGTTAAAATGTACATAAGAAAAAAACTCAGCATCTCTCTGAAAAGGGAGATTATCCATTATGTGGGGGGTTCTAAGGTCTCCCTAGGCAGAACACACAAAAGGTCTATCTGAACTGGATAAATTGGTGAGAAAACTCAAAGAAGTGTTTCCACTGTCGCCATGACAAGTGCTGTCTGAAAAGTGCTGTAGGGAAGGAGCTAGGATGAGGAAGCAATGTGTTTGAACACATTTGCAAACTGTATTGATACTGTGTGACTGAATACTGACACCTGCTGGACATTTAAAATCACTACAAGCCTCTTTGACACACTGATGACCTGTATTATGATTTAAGCTATTGATTGCTGTAATGTATTATTTCATAGGTATCGTTTAAATTTAAATTATGCGTGCTATTTTTAGATGAAATACATAAATATGAATATGCAACTGGAAAAATTAAGGGAAGGTGTGAATAAGGATTTTTGTGGACTAGGGATTTATTTATTCAAAATATTAACTACAGTTAAAACAGCAAACTAAGAGAGAGGTTTACAAAAATTAGATGAATTACATTTAATTCATGATTTAATTTATGAGGATTGTGGTTATTTACAGCTTGCATAGGGTTTTCTCTTCTTAACAATAGGATTTATTACCAAGAAAAAATTAAGGAGCTTATATTTGCCAGATATTTATTTTGTCTTATAATCTTATTTTTTTTATTTTTCAAATTTTGGCCAAAAGACAGAAGAAAATGTAACAGTGAAAATATTGACTTTGATTCATCGGTTATTATTAGTCTTAAAAAAAAACATTTTTCTAACTATGTCTAAGACCATTGCAGCTATAAGTTTAAGGGGTCTTTAAGGCCAGTTTAGTTAATTAGGTCCAACCTGCGCCACACCTGTAATCATGGCATCTGTGGTGAAGTTTTTGCTCCTTTTTGCTGGTGAAAGCAAAGCCAAATTCATCGAAACCCAAACTGTCGCTGCGCCTTTTGTTTGTTGAACTTCTCCGACTGGCGTTGCTGCTGCTTCTTCTTCTCATTTCTTCTTAAATAAGCAGCTTAGATGGAAATCAGTGGGAAACCGCTGCCTGCAAACACTCGCTTTGTTCAACTCCTGTCAAAATCAACGGTCGCCGTGAGGACACGCCTCTAATTAAACGTCATCGTAGCGCCAATTATTCAGATCGAAATAATATCGGTAAAAAACGATAGATTATATGCAGTGAGGTTACACTAACATCACTTTCATCAAACTACCAGCGGTCTTTGTCAGCCGAAAATATTTAGAATCAACAGCGAACTTTTCCCAATCGTTTTTAAGGGGTTAACCTCTTTCCGGTCAGCCGGTGAAATGACCAGCCTGGAGAGGGAACAGATAATCATATAAGCGCCGCTTTCTGCACCGCTCGCCATGCCGGCTGGAAAATGATGCAGAACCTACGCGTGATTTCAAAAGAGCCCACTGTTATGTAAACTGCATTAAAAATTAAGCATATATATAATATATATACATTATATATATGTAAAAATAAAGCTAAGGCTATATATATATACATTATATATATATATATGTAAAGATATATATGTATGTATATATATATATATATATATATAATGTATATATATATAGAGAGAGAGACTTAGCTTTATTTTGTCATTTTGTATACACAAGTGTAAACAAAAACAAATTTCGTTAAGAATAGCTCTCTAGATATTTTCTTTTTATTTCAGGTGCAGCCTTGAAAACAGTACAAAATACAACAGTAATATAAACATATGACTTTATATTTATAGTTCTAACATTTCAGTTTTGTTTTTTGTTTTTTTAACAAAATATAATAAATATAATCAAATATAATAAAATAACACATTTTACCAAATATTCAGCAGTCTAATGGCAGTAGGGCAGAAACTGTTCTGGAATCTGTTAAACCTGCATCAAATGCTCCGAAGCCTCTTCCTGGAGGGCAGCAAGTAGAACAGTCCATGGTGGGGGTGTTAGGGGTTCATTGATGATGTTATGGGCTCAGGACATGCAGCGCAGAGATGAAATGTCTTTATTGGAGGGAAGAGGAGCCCCCATGATCTTCTGTGCTGTTCTCACCACTCTTCTCACCTTCTTCCAGTCTGAGGCGCTGCAGCCTCCACATCACACAGCTGGTCAGAACGCTCTCTATGGTGCTTCTGTAGAAGGTGGTGAGGATGGGTGGGGGCAGGTGGGCTCTCCTCATCCTCGGGAAGAAGTACCAGCACTTCAGGGCTCTTTTGATCCGTGAGGTGGTGTTTACATTCCAGGTGAGGGTGTCTGTGATGTTCACCTCCAGGAATTTGGTGCTGTTGGGTGTGCAGGTGTCGCAGTGGTTAGTGCACACGACCCATGTACAGAAGCCTTAGTCCTCGACGGGGCTGACCTGGGTTCGAATCTGACCTGTGGTTCTTTGCTGCAAGAACCACAGGTCCCCCCATACCCCTGTCCTGTCAGGCTAATGTCGTAAAAGCGAAACACTGGTGCCGTAAAAAAAACATTTATATATAAGGAATTTGGTGCCGTTGACTGCCTCTCCAGCTGAGCTGTTGAGAAGTAGAGCGTGGTTAGGCCGGTTCTTCCTGAAGTTTGAGATGATCTCCTTCATCTTTTCCACATTCAGGATCAGGCTGTTATCTTTGCACCAGTCCACCAGCTGCTCCACCTCCTCTCTGTGGTCCTGGTTGTTCTCTCTGGGTACTCCAGCTTCCTCCCACAGGCCAAAAACATGACTGTTAGGTTAATTGGCTTCTCTAAATTCTCCTTAGGTGTGCGTGAGTGGTTGTTTGTCCTGTTTGTCTTTGTGTTGCCCTGCGATGGACTGGCCTCCTGTCCAGGATGTAACCCATTTTCACCCGTAGACAGCTGGAAATAGGCACCAGCACCCCACGTGACCCCACTTGGGATAAGTGTGACAGAAAATTGATGGATGGTTATGTTTATATATATATATATATATATATATATATATATATATATATATATATATATATATATATATATATATATATATATATATATATATATATATATATATATATATATACATATATATAAACTTTAATTCGGTCAAACACATTTAAATGATTTTTTCCATTTTAAAAATATATATAAAAAAAGAAACTAAAATATAAGAGTAACACAGCACTTCGCTCTCAATCTGCAGGTTTACTAGTGGTTCCTAGAATATTTAGAAGTAGAATGGGAGGCAGTTCTTTTCATTATCAGGCTCCTCTCCTTTGGAACCAACTACCACTTTTAGTCCATGAGGCAGACACCTTGTCTAAGGGTGTCTGCCAGGCTTAAGCAAGGCTTAAAATGTTCCTTTTTGATAAAGCTTATAGTTAGACTGGCTCAGGTTATCCAGAACTATCACTACAGTTATGCTGCTATAGGTTTAGACTGCTGGAGGACATCATTCTGCTTCATTCTATCTCTATTCTCCCACTCTGCAGAATTTGTTAGTTCAATCTCTAATGTTATGATATCTCTGTTTTTTCTCACAGTAGCTTCATCTGTTCTGTTCCTGTTTGGATGTGACGCCATCATGGAGAGAAATATCAGCTGTGCTGCTGCCATCAACACCCTTGTTTATAGATGCTGGAGATCGGCCTGTTTTCCAGTGTGGTCCTGTTGTTCTGGCTATGACTAACTCGATGAGCTCTCTTCATCCTCTGGCATGGGAGCTGGCTAGGAGCTGGTCTGCCTGGCTGTGTGTTTCCTGGACAGGGCTGCCTGTGGAGCTGGTTAACAGTTGTTTTTTGTATCTCTGCTTCTGTCTCATTGAACCCTGGTTGGCCTTGTCAGATGGCCGCTCACACTGAGCCTGGTTCTACCGGAGGTTTCTTCCATTTAAAAGGGAGTTTTTCATCCCCACTGTCGCTACAAGCATGCTTGGTGTGAGGGATTGCCCCTCCAGTCAATGGGTGTGTTCAAATTCATGGGCTCCATCCTCCAAGGACGGGGTCTACCTGGACTGGGTCATTCGAAGTCTGTGAAAATAAGGAAGACAGTTGACACACAAAGCAGGAAAAGAATAAATCCCAAACTTTTCAAAACAGTTTTTTTTTTTTTTTTTCTTTTTTATTGTAAAGTTAACAAAGCCTACACATATGAGAATCCAGAGTGGAATTAAGGTGACAACCACTGGGAGCATGAACAAATAAAAGCAAATGTAATTATATAAACCTTAGTCAGTTAAATAACTGGCTGCTGTCAATTTGCACATCACTTATGTTACTGCTATTTTCACATATCCATTACTATAGAAATGTCCATAGCTGTACATTGGTTATTCATTCTCCAGGTGCACAGTTCTATACTGTTAAACAGTTTAAGAATTTTATTGTTTATCTTTTAACTCTTCACTATTATGTTATTCTATCTAAGGTCCATAATTGTGTGACCATATTTTCCCTTTAATCTTTAATATTTTTGCTGCTGTAAACACCAGAATTTCCCCATTGTGGGACAATTAAGGGATTTTCTATTCTATTCTATTCTATTCTATTCTATTCTATTCTATAAAAGGGGTAGAAAGATATAAGTAAATCTAAACAATGTATGTTTAAAAAAAATATCTGCAAAATCTCTGATATTCAACAACAATTCTTAGTTAAGCAAATTGTGCAAAATAGCCATTAAAAATTAGATTTATAGTCCCCACACAGCAGATATATTAGAATCTTTCCTTAAATTACAGCCAAACCCATTTACACAGTAACAGATAAAAACCTTTGAATAAATCAAACATTACCGCCACATATCTGACTCAATAACCATTATAACAAATACTTAGTACATGGTCACAGGAATGTGACCAGACCCCGGCACCTCACTATATGGTAATCTGCCTTTGAATCTGACCTTCAGAGAACCATGAACCCATGAATTCAAACGCAGCCAGTTGGTCGATGTATTCAACTGGTTTTCCTTAGATAGAAAACTTTGAATCAGTCGGATTGTATGATCCGGTTGATGACATATGTTGTGAACTGCCGCTATATAAATACACTGAATTGAATTGAAGAGGAAAAAAATAGGACACAATGTTCTTAATATATTTATTTGTGTTTATATCAGGAAATAGGAATAGATAAAATAGTTTTTTAAAGAATAAGGTATATCAGAGACTGCAAAATGAGAAAGGCAATAAATCTGTATACAATTTAATAAAACATGTGGTTGGGGGGCGGTGCACATTCATGTACTTTTTCATGTACTGTTAAACACAATTGTTGTAGGATTAAAACATTGACTATCTACCAACCTGTTTGAAATTTTCAACCATGTTTTCTAAGCCAAAACATGGCTTTGTTTTTGGTCCACTGTATACATCCTCAAAGTCAACGATATTTTGGACATTTTTTATTGAAAAATGCTTCCTGGATGGGAAGCGAAACGTCTTCAAACTTGAAAACAAAGTCCAGCGGATTGTTTTTTAAATGTCTTGGAATAACCACGAAGCATACATTCATTACCAGTGAAGGATAAAATGTTGTCTGATGAGGCGTATGATATTTATTGGGCCTTGAGAAAATCTTTGTCAGGAGCGTAGTATTTCAGGATGGTTGATGTAAAGATTTGGATTTCAATGCGGCGTAAAGAGCGTAACTTAGTGATGTTTCACTGGGACGTTATTTGGGTATTGCTGCGGGTCTCCACTTTGTACATGGTTTGGTAACCGTCATCCCAGACATACAGCTGTTTGTCTCCGGGGTTATAATGAATGCTGCTGTGGCTGGTGTACCGCTTCGGGAAGAAAATCACAGGACTCTCAGCGCTGCGCAAAGACAACACAGGAAAGACGAAACGCTTTACCACATTAGTTTCAAAGGAATCGATCTGTGTCCATTGTTTGAATGTTTATCTTTTTTCTATGTGAAGTTTTTGGATAGCAATGGCATGATTGGAATTTCAGAGCCTGTTATATACTAACCTGTGGATGGTGTCATGGATGTCGTAGAGACACTGGACGGTGGAGCGTCCTCCATAACGTGTGTTGTAGACCACATAAAGCGTCCCACAAATCAGGAAGGCCCCCTCAGCATCACGGCTCCTACACTGTGTGTCCCAGGTGTATTCCAGTGTTAAACTTACTGGTTAAAACAAAAAAAAAAAACAAACAAAAAAAAACACTTCCAATTTTATATCTACCAGGCAATGGAGATTCTAGCATGAATGTTACCCAGGACAAGCCCTTCCTTCTAACACCCCCCATCAGTTAAACTAATTCATATATTCATATATTCTCAGTAGCAGAACATGTTTAAAAGCAAAACTGACATTTAAGTTTGGATTTTTTATTTTATTTGATGCAAACTGATTTTTTTTAGCTGTCACAAACTTCATATATGAATGATTCTTTGATTCCCTTCTGGTATCATTGGTTTGCTAAGTCATACAGGTCTTAAAAAGTTTTGTAATGAAGGGATGAATAGCAGTGAAATTGAATATGATTCCATGGTTTGATTTGCATGTGAAAGATTAAATATAGTCCATTATACTCCATCAAAGCATGACTTGCAGAAGAACTTGGTGGAGAAACCTATTGGCAAGCAGAGCCGTGAGGCATCTGGTGGAGCTGGTCACCAGGTGTTTGTGTATTTCCGGAAGGATTTTTTCTTACTTCTCTTCACAGGGACTCTCATAATCCTTTGGGACTCATGGCTGCTGCTAAGCCACTGGAAGCTCCCTCAACACTTTTTTTTGAGAAGGTTGAATGCAAGATTTTAATCCATTATCAAAAAGCTCTCTCTAAGCAGGTGTTTACTGTCTCGCTACTTTCCCAGGACCATTCTTCCAGCATGAGCCAAGACTTTCGTTGTAGCTACGCATAGTTATTTAATCATTTTTCCTTTCTTCAATTATCAATTTTCCCCTGTGAAATTACAAACATACTTTGCAAATTGAATTTCTAAATGTGATATTCAAATTTGAAATTGTTATTTTTCTTTTTCATTTCATCTTCTTCTCCTCCATATTCACCAACTTTTAAGTGATGTTCTTAAAACCCAGTCAAACCTTCTGTAGATCAACTGTTTTATTGCAAGTGCCCTTCGACAGGCTCCTCTTCCCTCCATTATAGACATTTCATCCCAGCACTGTGTGTCCGGAGCTCTGAGGTTTTTGAGTCCTCTGTCATTTTCACTGCCCTGATAGCTAAAGATAGCTTACATAATTGCTCACTTCACTCACCTGTCTAACCCTCTCAGGTTACTAATTATGATTCGTCTTATCCACCTGCTCCTGCTGCTTCATATACGGCTTAGCCCAGCTATCCGGGCCAGATCATTGACTATGTTTGTTTGTTTGTTTGATTGTTCGTTTGAGTTAGAGTTTTCGTCTGAGATCATGGCTGATTTCCACGGTTCATGTGCTCCTTCTTGGAGGCCAGTGGTTAGAGAAGATTGTTGTCTTGGTATTTCCTGATCATGTTCTGGCTCTTGTCCGCTCAGCGCGCCCCGTTTCTGTTTTTGACTTGGCGGAGGGTGCTAGTTTAAAGTTCTGTAGTCCCAGTTCTTATCCACTGAGCATGCACTGTTGCTGTTTTTGGCGTGACAGAGGGAGCTAGTTTAAAGTTTCGTAGTCTTGTCCTGCCTCTTAACTACTGCACCTCTGTCTTTTCCCGTTCTGATCTCAAACCCTGGCCAAGCTTTGGATCCCTGAATCTAAGAACAACAAGTTTCTGAGAACCAGGAACAGTTAGGAACCATCCTGTTCTGAGCTGTTCCCCTGACTGGGCACGGATTCCTGCCTGTTTACTGGGGCTGATGCATCATGGAAACTCTGGATGGCTCCCGCCACATCTCGTTGGCAGTCCATCAGCTGAATCCTGCCTCCCTCGAAATGATGGAGTGAACTGTTAAACCAGGTAAGTGACTCACATGGATAATCATCTTCCGTCCGATTATCATGGTGACTTACCTGTGTTTCTCTCCCTAACTAGAGTGCCTGGGAAGGGTGGTGCCCCGCCTCCCCCCACAACCGCTGCAGATCCACAGCTTCTTGTTCTGCTTTTTTTGTAAATAAACATTTAGAAACTTTCCACTGTCTGTCTCGCCTCAAATTCTGGGTCCTACATTCTGGTTTTCATTACACTTTTTGTCGCTGGCCTTAGTGGCCATATTTGGACAATGAAAATAGCCTCAGAGATTACACTCTGACTTCCCTGTTAAAGAGTAATAGAATGCAGCATAAACCTTAGAGAGAGGTAATTTGGGGAGAGTTTAAAGCTTTTGTTAAAAAACACTCCTATAATAATTTGAATAAAAAAAATACATTTCCACAGCAGAAGGTTATTTCTTTACCTTTGTCCAGTTTGGTAATGACCAAGTTTCCACCGTATTCAGGATCTGCATGGATAACCCAGAGGCCAAGCTCGTCTACAGCCATGTCTACATAAGTGTTGGGGTTTAGGCTGTACACAGGAAGGTTACCAGCTCCAGGAAGAAGCATGCTATCCACCACAGAGCCATTCAACAGATCCACCTTTAAACGTGACAAGAAATACACGGAATAATGAAAACTGTGCTTATTAACAAGAGAAATTGAGCCTGAGTTGTTCTTGACCAGTTGTCCACTCATACACTGTTTTATGTGAGAATCTAGAGATAAAAGGTCAGAAAGCAGAATCCAAACATTGCTCTTCCGTTTGCAGCTTCCCGGCTCAATGATTTTTCCAACTTTGTTGAACATCTCAGAAAACTTCCAAATGGAGGTGTTCAATATTCCAACCACCCTTCAGAGCCATTGCTTCTTTAAGGGATCTTATGCTTTTAGTCTTGATCCAGATCTCCTGACCAGAGGTTAGGGTTGGAATGTAAATGGGTATTTAAACTAAGCGCAATTAAGTTAAGCTATTATTTAACTATGGCAGAATAGAACAGTCATAGTGGGTCCCATTCTGTCTAAAGCATTGTCTGATGGACCTAAAGTATTGTCTGTCACTTCTAAACAACAAACAAAGATAACAACACTCCCACACTCAGAAAGAGACTTACCTCTGACCCTAAAAGAGCATTATGCTCTCTTACAGTGGATTGTTCAGAAATAAATGTATTTCATAACCTTTTTTATGTTTGAGCTGGCTCTAACAAGTGCAATTTCCTTTAGAATATCCAGTTTCCTATAAAAAAAAAAAGCTCCACTGGAACCAAATTGTATCTTTTGGCACTGTATCCTCCCTGACCTCAGCTAACACATTGAAAGAAAAGAAATAGCACATAACTCCCTCCCAGATAGATATAATTCCTTAAAATAATCAGGCTCGCAGCTGCTCTCCAGTTAAAAAGGTAATTGGCTAGTAAATTGAAGCAGGATACAAAATAACAGTTTTTTCTCTTTACCATTTGATGAGGATCAACAGAGAAAAGCATGAGCCCATCAGCTTATGATCAGACAAACCTTCAGTATTTCATTGGGTGTATCCGCCTTGTGGCAGTACAGAAATCCATTGTAAACCACATGACCCGTGCCCTGCCAGTAAAAAGGCAGCTGTACTTCATTTGCTGGAGGTGTGGAAGTCTTTGTGAAGCTCTTCAGCGATTTGTACTCCAGTATGGTGTTGTTACGGAATCCACTGAATAAGTATACCTGAAAAAGAAAGGACACAGAGTATTAAAGATGTATTTACCCATCTGTTCAAACATTGTTTGGACCAGGTTATCCTGGCATGTTGGTGTTGGGTCATATTTGTGTGATTTGATGAATTAATCGGTGTCAAAATTGCATTCAAAGGATTGTACATTGTTCTTGCAAATAAACTGGTATATAAAGAACATTCAATTGGATATACTTTAAATCTAATGACTTTGTTTGGCACCATCCCAAAAGATTTAACACATGGGCCTTAAAATGAATCGTAAACAGAAAGGATAAAATGTTTAACTTCCCTACCGAAATAATCGGCACAATTAGCACATATAGATCAGAGTGGTTCCTACACAATATTCACAACAAATTTAATGCTTTTCTAGTCTTTAGGCCTGATGTTCAGAAGGTTTGAGCATCTTAGAATAAATGTAAACATGTTTACAACTGCAGAGAAGATCTTCAAGGAAGGCACAAAGTAATTTACATTTGTGATTCAGCACACAGTGCCTGCAAAAGTTTTTTTTTGTGTGTTTGCCTTTATGCCAATATGCAGATGATATTTTGATGTCCAAACCACACAAATTCAGGGGTGGAGGATATCCAAATATTATGGCGTATTCTGCAAAATTATGGATTTTGAAAGAGCATAACCGCACATACTGTAACCACGCAGAGCAGAAAGTATGATTATGTTTTATATATTTTACTTCTATACTTTTAATATCAATTTTAAGACACTCATACCTAATCATGTTTAATGATATTTCCTTTGTTTGTTTTCAACAAACTTCATTCATTTCATTATTAGTTTTCTTTACTTTTGTTTGTAGTTCTTATAGATAATTATGTAAAGTGCTTGAGAAATAATATCTAATATTATAGTCATTATTTTTCATATAACCTTTATCATTATTACCTACCACTACATGGCCTAGAACCTCTTCTGTCTTTTATGGCAACTCTCTGTGAACACTATCAGTAGATCAAATCTGCTCATTTTAAAGGAGTTGAACCAAAACAAGTTTGCAAGTCATAACATGTGGGCAGCAATCTTTGTTGATCACTTGCATAAAACATACTTATTTCATGTGCTAAAACAAAACTGAATGGGCAAGTTGACATCCATTATTCTGAATCTTTGAAAATCAGGCCTTTAGTCTGTTTCTTGAGTATTATTACAAATGCAATCTATAAAACCTGCTAGGCAAACAATGGATGGACATACAGATGAACAGATTGGTGGACGAACATAGTGTTAGGCGAATGAAAGACCAAACATGAAATGGACTCAACATTTAGGGAGAGGAAAAAAGTCTTAAAGTATAAATATTCTTTACTATAATGTCCTTTAATGTGGTTTTTAAATTTAATGAAATTCTAGCATAGGAGCAGCTATATAAGTTTTTTCATATTCATTGGTCCATGGAATTATAAAGTATATATATATATATATATATTAGTGCTGTCAATCGATTAAATTTTTTTAATCGCGATTAATCGCATCAATGCCTGAGTTAACTCGCGATTAATCACATTTTAATCGCAAATTTTTTTTCTGATTGAAAATCATTTAAATACTCTCGATGACATACAAAAAATACATACAGGCTAGGTTTGTGCCAACGTTCTTTTTTTTTAAATGAAAACAGGTCACAGACACTGATTTATGCCATAGAAACATATGGCAAGAAGATGGGGAGGCATGTAGCAAAAAATAACAAATATGTAGCCAAAAAAAAGGCCCTGAAAACAGGCTGATGTAAAAGACAGTCTTTACAGTTAATACAGTCTTTTGAACAAAGACAAGCATTTTACCCTACTGCTATAAAATGTAGTACAGTTAACATTAGATGTTAATTAACCAAGATAATAATGAACAATTTTCAATCAATACATCAAAATCAATAGACCGACATCACTAGATGGAGGTAGTCTATGCTCTAGAAAGTTACTTTTCAGCCTCTTAACAAAAATGAGAACACACACACACCCACCCACCCACACACACACACACACACACACACACCCACCCACCCACCCACCCACACACAGACACACCCACCCACACGCGCGATACCGACCTGTGGCGTACACAGACAGCAAGAGTGCCGTAGCAGATTCCATTTCACCTCAGTAATCTGTTTTCTCAGCGTATTTCAGGTTGCTACTAGTTACCAGACACTCAACTTGTTTGTTGGTGGTGGGGCTTAAAGAAAAGGCACTAGCGCCACCCAGTGTATGAGTGTCTTTTTTCCTTGAGGAGCTCCGCTCTTGAAGCCTATGGAAAATGCATAGACTGGGGGAAAATAGCCCCGCCTTCCCGCAGGCTGCAGCGGGATGTACTTGGAAAATTTTACCATAAAACCACATAGCGTTAATCTCACGTTAAAAAAATTATCGCCGTTAAAATGGCCTCGCGTTAACGCGATAATAACGCGATAATTTTGACAGCACTAATATATATATATATATATATATATATATATATATATATATATATATATATATATATATATATATATATATATATATATATATATATATATATATATATATATATATGATTTTTTTAATGTATATAATTTGTAACAAAAAAGTTATTTCAGGAAAATTTGCTTTTCTGAGGGTAAATTAGTGTGGAAAAGAGAGTAACAATACTAAAGCTAATAACAAACTGTTTATGATTAATGAGTAATTAGACTGTCCATTAGTAGCTCCACATTAAGCATGAGCCCAAAAGGACAGACAGTCAAGTTTTAGACATTACTGACCTTATCTGATCCCTCAGAGGGGTCCTTGAACCAGCATCCATTTGGGTCGCCTGCCCTCTTCACAATTTTAAGAGACTTAACTTGACTCAGAGCCGTTTGGCAGTCTAGATATAATAAATTAGACAAAGAAATTTACTAACACAAGCAAAAATGTGATAAAAATGTCCTCTTTCATTTATTTGTGGCTTTTCTCTATGCAAAAGTTGCCTACCGTTCTCCACATGTATCGCAGCCTTCTTTTTCAGCTGCTCCAGTTCTGCTGCTTTTATCTGCTGCTCCAGCAGCACTTCCTCCATCTCAATGTCAGACTGAGTGGGAAGTTTGTTCTCCAAATATTCCAGCTCTCTCTCCACCCGGTCAACACGCACAGAGACACCGTCTACTTGGCTCTTTACCTCTGATCTAAGAGGCAAAACACACAGAAACACATAAAACATGTTCAGGAGTTTAACCATTGGAAACGATTAATGTGGTGGGAATATTCAGGCGGCCTACCTTAAAGTGTTGAGTGTGGAAAGGTAGCCTCTAATCTCCGAGGAGAGGTCATAGGTTTTCTGGGTGGCACTTATTGTGTTTTGCTCACACAGACTCAGACGCTCCTGATTTTGTTCACACAGTGGGAATAGCATAAATACAGGCACAGCTGGCATTTAACAAACAAAAAAAAAACAGTTTTTCTATAATTTCACCCATTTTTCTTTATTCTAATAATAATAATTTTGCTAATATCTACAGTAGTTACTTTATCAGATAGCTCATATTTAGAGGGTTTATTGTATTGTTAATTTATTAATGTATTACACACTGCTAATTGAGATTTGATTTCTCTTTTATTTCCAGCTTAAGACAGTAGTCCACAACTGGTTTAAAGGATAATTAAAAAACTAGAAGCTGACAAAAATGTTAAAGTAATTCATCACTTTATGCTACGGTAATGCTAAGTCCTTTAAAAAAAAAAAAAAAAAAACATTTCAAAAGGAGACCAGCTGCTGGGGACATACACATTTCATCAATGTAGTAAAGTGTATAAATCAAATTTCAAAAGGCAATTGTGTTGTTTATTTCTTTTTGTTTGGTCAAATTTATCCAATTTAGAATCAAAATATGAAACATTTACACAAAATATAATATTTTATAGAACTATAATAACCTAAGTCCATTACAGTACTTAAGAAAAAACCCATCAATTTCCAGACTAGTCTGGAAATAACATACATACTGTATTATCTGTAACATTTGCACCCTTAAAGGAATAGTACACCCAAAACATGATTAGCCTTCATTTTCTACTCACCCCCATGCTGAACAACACTCTGGAGTACTTTTTTGATAACTCAAATGCATCTGGAGATCTGGGAGGTCTGCCTGGTTTGGTCTGCCGCGGTTTCCGTAGACTCGTGAACGCGCTTTCAGGAAATCCTATACACTCCTGTTTATGCTCTAAAAACATTCTAAATGACTTCGTTTCGAGTAAATTTTGGACGCTACCCACTCAGGACACTTGGAATACATTGGACGAGCAGTATGGAGGAATATTGACACGTTTTTTGTGGACTTTTATGGACCTTTCTGCCTCGGGCGCCATAGACCTCCATTTGAATGTCAGCAGACAGCAAGAAGCCTCCCAGATCTCCAGATGCATTTGAGATATCAAAAAAGTACTCCAGAGTGTTGTTCAGCATGGGGGTGAGTAGAAAATGAAGGCTAATCATGTTTTGGGTGTACCATTCCTTTAATGCTCCAGGGAGCGTTAGCACAGATCCTTCCTCTCAGCTGCTGTAAGACTCTATAACCATAACCTCCAACAACCCTAATAAGATGTTACATTTCTGCTGATTTTTCCACAGGTCACTGAAATACGACTGTAATTTTTGCACATTTCAAGTGTTGTTGCTATTTACACATATCCAATACAGTAAAATGTCCACAGCTGTTTATTGATAATTTATTCTCTAAATGCACAGTATTTGTATAGTAAAAACACTGAACGGTACAGTATTTTTTTCCAACTCTCATTTATTCTGTTATTTTATACACTTTTTAAGGTCCACATTTTGTCATGGTTTTGGTTCTGTTGTGCTTTACTTTGCTCCATGTTTCCTAGTTTTATTGGTTTAATTCCTATTTTGTTGTAGTTTCTAGATTTATGTTAGCTCTCAGGTTTTTCTGTTGTTTTCCTCTGTTGCCCTCTTGTGTGTTCCTTTCCCTTTGGCTCCCTCGCTGTCTCCTCTCACACCCGCTCCTTATCAGCTCGTTAGCCCGCCCTTTGTCTCTGTCAGCTTTATATGCTCTCCCTCTGCTGTCACTCCTTGTTGTTACTGGTCCTGTTATCGCTGTTGTCGTCTCACCTCGTCTCTCCCTGGCTCCTTGTGCGTTTTTTCCCTTGATGTCTCCATGGTTGTGGTCTGTGTTACATTTTTTGTTGGATTTTTGGATTCCTGCCTTTGTTAACCATTTTCATCATTAAAACTACAACAATTCACCTCAGCCTCTCTGGCTCTGCATTTGGGTCCTCTAAACCAGGCATCCCCAACCTCGGTCCTCGAGGCCCCCTGTCCTGCAGGTTTTAGAGGTTTCCTTGCTCCAGCACAGCTGATTTTAATTGAAAGCTGATTAACTCGGTTTTGGTCTACTGCAATCGTTATAATCAGCTGTGCTAAAGCAGGGAAACCTCTAAAACCTGCAGGACAGGGGGCCTTGAGGACCGAGGATGGGGATGCCTGCTCTAAACCACAGCCAAACCTTGACACATTTGTGTGAGCGTTTTTGCTATAATCTTTTGCTGCTATAACACCATAATTTCTCCATTGTGGGACAATAAAGGTCTTTTCTATTCTATTCTATTCTAATATCTGTCCTTTATCAGTTCCTAAATAATGTATGAAGTTAAGTGACACAGCAGCATTCTCAGTACGAGTAGCGAACTGCAAGATTCAGGGCATTATTCACACACTGATCTATTCATGTGATGATTAATTTAGGCTTGTTGCAGCACAAACTAATAACGGCCTGATTCGTTCACTGTGTGTATACGGGTGAGATTTTTTCTTTTTTTTTGCTTTGTCAAAATGACTACTAAAGTAAGATAAAAAAAAAAAAAGTATATGTTTGCTGAAAATATGCTCCTTTTAGCCTAAAAAGGGAAAATATTTAACCAGGAAGGATTACTTTTTTTTATAATTCTTGCATAACTAGCAGATCGTGCTAAAAATATAGCCTAACATTAGTTACTAGCTTTATTCATTTCCTGATGTATTGTTTTTTGTAGTATTCTAAAGTGAATAAAACATAGTGGAAAAATTGGTGCATTTACATCTACGGGTTCTAAAGTAGCCTACCTGTCAAATTAAAATAGCTATGCATAGTTAGAAACAAACAAAACTTTCCTAGAGTCTCTGTTGCTCATTACCTTCTACCCTTAGGTCACACTTAAAACAAATATCACAGATTTATGCACAATCTACACTGGAGGCACCTACATCCATGTTTTCACAATATCTGATTCAAATCTTCAACCTTCTTCCAGTGCCTTATTTATTTACTTTTTATTCCACAGGATTTTGAAGTTTTCACGGAGCTCCTGGTATAAACAAAAAGCAGCAAACAGATGCAGTAGCATGTGTATCCCCTAAACATTCTTTCAAACAAGACCTAACAACATAACCAATCACGCAAACTTCCAAACACACAAAGTTCTCAACTACAGCAACGGTTAAACATCAGTGTAATAACAGAACAATTATTGATATTAACGAAGAGTTTGAGAACATTATAGATGCTTTATAAGGAATAAAAGGGGGCAGTTTTAAACACATAAACAGAGGTTATGATTTCAAGTGAGGATGGGAGATTTATCCAGTCAGAGGGTGCTTTATAATAAAAAATCTTTTTATGATTTCTTGTTGATTCGTGGAACAACAATAAACTTTTCAACACAATGCCTCCTTGTTAGGATAATTACCATTGATGATGTGTGAGTTTATTACACCTGAATATTAGCTGCATGTTAGGACTGATGTTTTACACAATAGTTTATCTAATTAAGTTAATCTGTCTGGATATACAGTTATAATCTTCATTCTGTACGTGGAAAAAATTTAGGAATGGAATGAGAGCGGTTTCCTTCAGCTAAGAACAAAGTGTAATATTTTGATAAGGCCCGAAGCAATGGAGGTCTCATCATCTGCTAATGTGTTTGATGTAAAATAAGATAATGTGGCAGACTGGAGATGTATAAAATGCCTTTTAACTGTTAATCGGGGCCACTTCCTGAGAGGTGAGCAGCTGCCTTCTGTAGATTCTAAGCAACTTCTCTGATATGAGTAAGACTACAATTTCTATCAAAATCTGTTGTCATGTCTCATGCTTATTTAATATTTATAAGTCAATAAGCATTATTTAAAGAGTTTGTCCCGAGGGATCTCTTTTCAGGAAGAGGAACCGGAGAGATAGAGCTTCAAGGTGCAGTAACAGAGCCTATCTATAACAGCCTAATACTATACGTAGAGAAGAAAATGAATGAAGAATTGTTTTAAATATTCATGGCAACTAAGATTAATACATTTAAGTATAAATATCAACTAGTGAACTTGTCATCTGGAAGATGGAGTGAGCCAAGAGTTGTTGGTACAACAACTCTTGACAATGGTGAGTTCAGTTCTGAAAGGCAGCGGAGAATAAACCTGCACAGACTTTTATAAACAACATTAAATGCTTGGAGATTAGTAGGTGTAGTATTTTCTATAAATGATATCAGTGCAATCAAGAATAGTGAGTAATAACCGAGCAACGATTCTTTTCCTTACGGAGTGAAACATTTCATTGACTGATGAAGTAGTTTCAAACGACATGTAATTTTATTAGTAAAATAATAAATATGATGTAAAAGAAAGTGAAGACTAAATTGAATCCAGAGTTGGTATTTTTTAAATTAACAATGCTAAAAACTTAGCTAGAGAGAAAGAAAACACCAAACGCGCCTAGTGTCTCACAAGGCCCTTTAGAGTACGTAGCTTTTATTTCTCTTTAATGGATACTGTGGTTATTATATGTGTATATTTATACGACCTTTAGTATCTGGGAATCACCATTAAATAACGTTATCATTATTATCAGAGTGGCTCCACTTTTACTCCATTGTCTGAAAAACAGAAGAAATTAATCAGGCTTATTTTTCAGCTTTTATTGTTCAGTATTCTATATTTGTCCATGTCTGAAACCAGATCACAAAACATTCTTTGTTGACTCATCCAGATTCCTGTAACAGGATTTAATAAAAGGCAGCCAGGCTGCTGAAAGGATGCCCAAACATTGCAACCACATGATCTACAGAGGTGACATTATAAAAATAACACAAACTATTCAAAATCAATGACCAAATGTCCAACGTGGAATAAAAATTGAAAGGAGCAACTTGTTGATTAAAAAAAACATAATACTATGTAAGAAAATGAGCTCACCTCCATCTGAATGAGCCTTCTCTCCAGGTACTGGATTATGAAGGCATCCTGGGAGGAACTCTGGCTTTGGACTGATCCCAAAGTCAGAGTCAGAGAGAAGAGAAACAGCCAGATCATCTTCCTCGATGTTCCCTCACTGCTTGTCTAAACTCTTCCTTTAGAAAAAAAAAACCCCCTGAAACGACTGTTGCGTCTTTGGATGTTTATTCCTGAAATGAGCTGTAATGACATCAGAATCCCTCCTCAAACTTTTAGAAAGGCCCAAATCTGGCTAAATCTGGAAAGAAATGCAGCTTCCTTCTCCTTTTATGACATTCCTCCTGTCTGAAGAGCAATTTTTGATTCCTTGCCTGGCTGATTTCCCTCCTCTTGATGTCGTCAGGCTTTCAGCTCTTGAACTTTCTGCCTTAGTTTAGTTTTTGGATTCAAGTTCCCCTTGCCCACAGTCCCTCCCAGTTTCCCTTTCTTCCAGTCTCCCTGCATGCCTCTCTTCCATTCCCCTCCCCTCCGAACTTAATATGAAAGAGGATGCCAAGAGAGGAGGGGAGAAAAGACAGATTGAATTGGAACATTCAACAAGTTTTTTGATCCATTTTTAGCTTTTTGAAACTAGAATATTCACCAGATGGTTTACACTGGAAAAAAATCGAAATCCAAGTTAGTCATTTTTCTTAAAATAAATGCATTTTTTTCTTGGATTGACATAAAAGAGACACTTTGCCAATGGAACAAGACAAATTTCATTTAAAATAATAAAACACAATTGCATTGTCTTATTTCTAGTGCATGTTATCTAATTTTCTCATTATAAGAGTAAAAATACTCATTCCATTGCAAACTGTTTCATTTACCTACTCAAATTAATGGTAAATACACTTAAGTTAAGAATTTTTTATGATATAGTGTTTCCTCTGTATCGGCACATCGTCAGTTTCACACACATGCTGGACCACAGAAACTGTTAGTTATAGGAAGTGTATTATAGTTATATTTAAAACTGAAAATCTTACTATAACTCTAGATATGTGCCATAATCTTTGAGCTAAATATTGGTGAGCCGTGTTAAATCTGTATCTTCCAACTTTAAGATATGACTTGTATTTTGCTTCCCATCTGTTTTACCACACATCTGATAAAAATATTGCATCTTGCAACCGTTCAGATATTTTACAGGGTGGGAATTGATACTTAAGATACAGAATAGTAAAATAATAACTTCACTGAAATGGTGACAATGAGCACGGCTAAAAGTGTTGTTTTCAGCCTGGCTGCTGCTCCTTCTGCTTCTGGTGATGTGCTCTTTGATTCAGATCCAAAAACTGTCACAGCCTTTGTGGATAAGTGCTTGCTGCTTTTAAAATACTTTTATCTCCATCTGGTGCGTTTACAGAGCTGGCTGAGACTGTTTCCTGTTGTCTTGATGGCAGGCAACATCTGGTTGCCTTCTCTGAAGCACTGAAGAAGGTGGGAATTTATTTATTTATCATTTCAGGCAGTATGTTTTCATAGAACGCAAGAAAATAACCACTTACATAGCTGATCAACTTATGACAAAGAGACCGACAGCCATGGCCGTGGCCAGGTAACAAAGTAAAGTACATTTACCATGTCTGAAAGGGATGAAGAAGGAAACTTATTAAATCCCACTCCCATTTATCCATATGAGCACAGAAACCATGCTTCCTTCAAAATCAGTTGTAAAAACAAACTACTGACCACATCAGGAGCAATAATCCTTAGAAGCAGTACTCAACTTGAAGGGGAATGAGGGGGGATGGCCTCCGCTTTCTTAAAAAAAATCTTAAAAATCATCCCCCTCCCCGCCCTTTCAACATTTTCTGGGCTGTGAGGTTACGAGTAGCCCGAGCAAAATGAATTTAAATCAAAAAAGAAGAACAAGAAGAAAAAGCTACTTTTTGGGCTACTATGTAAAGCTTCTAACTCAATGCTATTTCGGATTTTTTGAATGGGAGGTGAAACGTCTTCAAACTTGGAAACCAAGTCCAGTGGATTGTTTTTTGTTTTGTTTTTTAACTTTTTTGGAATGACTATGACCTGGATGACTGAGAACCGTTACCAGCATACCACTATGTATGCTTCCAAAAAAAAAAAAAAAAAAATATTCAACCACCCCCCTTCTTTTTTTTTTAACCATTAGACTACTGCTTAGAGGAGGAGGGAATTGTACAAACTGACTCAAGCTACTTGGATCATAGTGGCATGAAGCGGGTTAAGACTCAATGTAACCAAAGTAATAATATGACAATGAAGAACTCACAAAGAATAATGTTTTTTTTTTAAATAATTATTTCATATATTGAATACTTTTCGATGATGCATGTCATATTTTTGCCACCAGATGGCAGCACACAACAATAAGAACTGTCAAATAGACCAACTAACAGCAGTCTGACAGTTACCTTTTTATATCTCTTTACAGGTGATGAAGCAGACTGAAGATGTTTTATCGTTATCTCCCTTTTATCTCCTCTTTCTTTCATCTTTTTCTCCATTTTCCTGTTTTTCCTTTCCTGTTCTACTTAAATTGCAGTGTCTATATAATCTGTAATACTCCCTGCATGATTATGATAAAGGTATTTAGGTATTTATATGCGTAAATCAAGTGGAACACTGCTCCACTTGTAAATGCAACATCTGTGGGGCTCTCTTTTGGTATCAAGACAACTATTCTTATTGTCACATTGCCAGACAGGACACTGCTAAAAAAAAAAAAAAAAGAAGAAAAAATAATCTGAAAATTAGATTGTAAACCTATTACTTATAAAAAATAAACTTTTGAATTACCTTGGAAAAATGTATGTATACTATAAATCATTGTTGGTTCTAATTTTCGTGTAATATCAACTAGTCTGTTGTAGGTCACAATATTTCACTGTTTTGTTATTATTGTCAAGTTTTAGAGGTGTGTAGGGGCAGGCTATGGAGTAGACATGTGTCCAGGGTCTCCAGAACCATCTGTTCTAAAAATATGAAACTAGCATTTATCTTAGCAAATACCCATTTCTTCAAGCTATTTACATTTATTTAGACACTTCTGCAAACATCTGAAGGCATTTGACCAAAAGGAGGCCCCTGTGGTGGAGAGATCCCAATTCGCTACAGCCAACGCCAAGTTGGGGAGATCAACTACGGGTCATTGTGGCTCACCTGCACCACTTCCAGGACTGTGAAAAACATACTTCGTCTGGTCCGGGCGAAACAGCAGATCAAGGTTGACAAGATTACCGCCTCTGTCTACCCAGATTATACTACCGAGTGACAAGAGGACAACAGGACATAACATGGTGAGACAACAACTCCGGGGGTTTGAAGGAGCGAGATATGACATCCTTTACCCAGCTTGCTTCAGGATCACCCACAAAAACCAGGAGCGTTTTTTCACCTCACCAGAAGAAGCACAGGCTTACATATCAACAACATCCTAACATAAGGGGCTTAACACAGAGAGTGACAGCTATGATCAGGAATACACATTTAATCTGCAGTTACTAACAGACATTTGCTGTAAAGTGTTGATCTCAGTCAGCTAATAAGTCGAATTTTATCCAGTTACTTTTCTACTATATTGCGTACTTTCAAATGTTGCTACCTGTTATTAATTTTCATCAGACAACTCAATTGCAACTTAACTATGTATTTATCTAATTTACTTCAATTTCACCTATTGTACTTTTAGTTTATTCATGTTTTTAAGTCGTTGTTTAAATCAAGCTGAGAAGGTCTAATGCATTTTTATTATTTTATTATTATAATTATTTTATGTTCTTGTAAATGGTAATTATCTTTAAGTCATTTGTTGCACTTTATAATGTCTGTCGTACAGCACTTTCGGCAGATTTAGCTGTTTTTAAATGTCCTATAGAAATAAAGTTGACATTGACCGGGGTCAGCAAAATCACACAGTGTTTACTGACAAAAACTCTCACCCACAAATGGCAACAACAGATTTTTGCTGATTCAAGCTTTCATCATATTTGTTTAAGGATGAAAAGCATTCAACACAGCTAAATCTAAAGTTAATCTTATTTAGTCACAGAAAATCAATGTTGATCCTTCACCTATCTTTAAACATCGGAGTAATCTTCTGATTTTGTTTAACAGTTGATGATCAGATTACTCTAACCATGACAGATTTGCATGCATATAGAGGCAAACTACATATATAAACACAGAATGAGATGTAACGACATGAAATATTCAGAACAGTTCACAGAGGAGTGCTATAAAATATCCATGGAGTCACAGCAGGAGATGCTACCGAGCTCACGTCCATGAGTGACGGCAGGAAACCCAGAGCAAATGTACATAAATAACTGTACATGATAGACAGTGTTATATTTACTTTGTTTTAATTATATTTTTCAATTTATTTTATATATTTTGCAAGGGTCTATTGGTTTTTGTGTGTTATTTTTTTGTGTGTCTCTATTTAATATTTTGGTATGCTAAACTATTCATGTGTCAGATTGTGTGCATATTTGTTACCAAGCATTTCAGGGTATGTGTGCTTGAATCACTGCATCTTGGTGATTGAGTGAGTGAGTGATGCCAGCCTTCCGCCACCCTCTGCCTATTGACCTTTCCCACCAGTCTTTGTGTTTGGCAGATGATGAGTTTTTAATGCCAACCCAAGCAGACAGGCACTATGTCAATATGACTCAGTCTGGGGAGCATGGAAATCAAACAAAGGAGAAATAAATAACTTTTTATTAAAACTTAAAGTAAATATTTTCTTTCTTGAGAAAATAGTAAAAGTATTGGTATAGTCCAACAAGAAAAAAGACAGGGCAATTTTCTTCAGCTGAATCAAAACAAAACCAAGGTAATAATTTTTGGACCAAAGGAAGTTAGCACACAGCTTCAGTTAATCCAGTGATGCAAAAAGACAGGAAGAAAGTCGGCCTTGTACCACCTGAAGCTCATCTCCAGGATTAACTGACTAATAACTTCTCTTTTTTTTTTATTAATCATTTTATCTTTGATTTGATTATCATACTTTTTAATTATTTATTCAATGCTATGCATTTCTTTCTGTTTCCTTTATGATAATGCAATTTACTTATTTTTCCTTTTTCTTCTCACGTACAACAATTTTATTTGTTGAACTAATGAAATTTGCCATAAAAATAAGCTTGTAGGTGTATAAGCTTTTATAACACAAAACTTTATAGTAAATAACAAGTTTTGAAAGTTTTCACAGCCAAGCCTGAAGAGTCCTAGTCCTATAGGATCAAGAAATCACTTAAAAACAACCTGTTTGACAGAATGGGTGAATATTTTCAAATGCAGCAGATCATAAAGTGATCTAAAGAAATTGTTCAAACAGATAAAGGAAGAAGGTTACTGACAGCTGTTTGACTGGAAAGAATTATAAAGCCATTTCCAAAGCTGTGGAAGTCAAGGAAACAAAAGAGAGCACCTGTAA